TCATCACCATCATCACCAACATCATCACCATCATCACCAACATCATCACCATCATCATCACCATCATGATCATCACCATCACCACCACCATCATGATCATCACCATCATCATCACTAGGGATGGGTACCTTTGACATTTGAATCGATCCGGTACTAATTGCCGGTACCTACGAGTCGATACCGGTACTTAACGGTACCAATTTTCGATACTTTTGAGTGTTTATTATTTTAATTCTCTTTTATAATTAAATATATATTTTTCTCAATATATAACCATATTTGATAAATATCACAATAAATAACATACAAGTTTGTATTTTAACATCGTCCTTGTAGTTTTATAAGCTGATAATTAAACTGAAGCAAACATCTTTACTGTGAACTAAATTTACTGTCTATCTTCATTCCTTTTGCCGTCCTTTTTCATTTGATTTTTCCTACTGGGAAGTTAGAATTTCCGAGGAGAAAACGAACGCACCATTAGCTGGTAACAACGGTGGCAATGGAAGCTAACATATCAAGCTAACGTTATCTTTAACAGTTTATTTAGCTGCTGGAGCAGATTAAAACGATGATGCCTCAAACTTAGATCGTTGTCGCTGGTTTTACCTTCACCCATTCACCCGTCGCATTTAGTAAAGTGAAGCCAAACTTTAGAGCGCGTTCATGTTCTTCTAGTCGGAAATTCTGAGTTCCGAGGAGAAAGCGAACGCACCATTAGCGAAACAGAAGCTAACAAATCAAGGTAACGTTATCTTAAACATTTTATTTACCTACTGGAGCAGATTAAGATGAGGATGTCTCACTTAGATAGTTGTCTGTCGCTAGTTTCATCACCCAGTTACCCATCACATTTAGTGAAGTGGACCCAAGCTTTAGCGTGCGTTCTTTCTACCATGCTTGCTCTGTTTACAACGGGCTCGCAGGGACCGGCGACATAACGCTCTTGCGCATGCGCAACTGTCTTGGCAGTATCGAAACGAGGCACCGTTTGAAATGACGTGAATCGGTGTTCGGTCGGTACTATGGAATTCGGTCGGTACCTTAAAAAGTACCGAATTCGGTACTCATCCCTAATCATCACCATCATCATCATCACCATCATGATCATCACCATCATCACCACCATCATGATCATCACCATCATCATCACCAACATCATCACCATCATCACCAACATCATCACCATCATCACCACCACCATCACCATCATCATCACCATCATCATCATCACCATCATCATCACCATCATCATCATCACCATCACCATCATCACCACCATCATCACCATCATCATTACCATCACCATCATCATCATCACCACCATCATCATCACCACCATCATCATCATCATCACCATCATCATCACCATCATGATCATCACCATCATCATCACCATCATCATCATCATTACCATCACCATCATCATGATCATCATCACCATCATCACCATCATCATCATCACCATCACCATCATCATCATCACCAACATCATCATCACCACCATCATCATCATCATCACCACCATCATGATCATCATCATCATCATCATCACCACCACCATCATCATCACCACCATCACCATCATCATCATCACCACCATCATCACCACCATCATGATCATCACCATCATCATCATCATCATCACCACCATCATGATCATCACCATCATCATCATCTTCATCACCACCATCATGATCATCACCATCATCATCATCATCATCACCACCACCATCATCATCATCATCATCACCACCATCATCACCACCACCATCATCATCATCATCATCACATCATCATCACCACCATCATGATCATCATCATCATCATCATCACCACCACCATCATCATCACCACTATCACCATCATCATCATCACCACCATCATCATCATCATCATCATCATCACATCATCATCACCACCATCATGATCATCATCATCATCATCACCACCACCATCATCATCACCACCATCACCATCATCATCATCACCACCATCATCACCACCATCATGATCATCACCATCATCATCATCATCATCACCACCATCATGATCATCACCATCATCATCATCTTCATCACCACCATCATGATCATCACCATCATCATCATCATCATCACCACCACCATCATCACCACCATCATCACCACCACCATCATCATCATCATCATCACATCATCATCACCACCATCATGATCATCATCATCATCATCATCACCACCACCATCATCATCATCACCACCATCATCATCATCATCATCATCATCACATCATCATCACCACCATCATGATCATCATCATCATCATCATCACCACCACCATCATCATCACCACCATCATCACCACCATCATGATCATCACCATCATCATCATCTTCATCACCACCATCATGATCATCACCATCATCATCATCATCATCACCACCACCATCATCATCATCATCATCACCATCACCATCATCATCATCACATCATCATCATCACCAACATCATTATCTGACCTGCTGATTCTGCTGATTCTTTAAGAGCTTCTTCATCAGCTGTTTTCTCTTTTCCTACTGTTGTGTTTAGGGCATCGTTGCACTGAGCTTCATCCTCCTCTTCTTCACTGAAGAATAAACATGTTGATCCAATAATCGACTTTATGCTGTCATTATCTTTAAGCCACGAATCTTTCAACTTTACCTGGTGTAGCAGAACACCTGCAGGTTAGTGATGGAGGTTGAGTCAGATTTTGACAGGTGCATTAGCTCCTCCCCATTCTCCAGCAAGTCTGAAAAATCATTGACCATCTCTGGTTGTGACTCATTCTACCAACAAACACAGGAAAGGTGAGAGAGTGAACTCTTCCTTCTGATAAATAATCAGATGATCAATAGTCATGAAACTGACATTGTGTTCCTGGACCCAGGTGAGCAGACCGTTGAAGGTGAAGCTGGCCCAGTTAGCGGCATAAAAACTCCTCCTGAAAAGACGAAGCTTTCATTCTCATCAAACCTTTCAAAATACGAGCCCTTTTATAGGTCATTACCAGTAGACTGGTTCAGAATACTTTAGATCATGTGTGTTTCCCATTCTGGAAGCTTCCATGTGACCTAAAACCAAACCGATCGCTATCGGACTAACAATGGCATACCAATAAAGTATTTACATTAATATTTAAAAAACAATAAATTCTAATGATTGCATTAAAAACAATGACTCACCTGTCCAGGTGCAGAACTCTCTGTCCAACTCTGGAACAGGCAGCAGCCACTACCGACTCGGTGAGCCCTGGAGACGCGATGGGGTAACCAATAAGGACAAACAAAAGTTAAACAGAAGATGCAGAGGAAACGAGGACTGAGACAACAACAGTTTGCCCTCCACAGATGGGGAGGGGGATTCAACTCAGCACCAACCTTCATGAAAGGTGGAGCTCTAGAGTGAGGTACTCCTGAAACACATGCATGCTGGGAAGTTCTGTTAAAAGTACCCTGAAGGTCCACTAGTGGAAACACGCCAATGACTGCAGGAATTGTGCACCACGGAGAGCATTATAAACCCAACAGAGGGTGGGAGGGGTGCATGAGATGATCAGTAAACAGGGCGAGGTGATCTGTATGTTACACAGAAACACAACTCAGCACAACAATGGTGGTGTCACTGCTTTCTCTCAGACTGCATCAGCAGGCAGAATACTCTGGAGCAACCAGTTACTCCGCCCCCTAGCCAATCAGGGACCACAGTCACAATGCTGGCCCAACTCTCGAGTAAGGTCTAGCTGCAGACGCAGCCCCGGCCAAACACGCCCCTATGTACAAAACACGCGTGCATGAACGAAGACGAGAACTCGCATGCGTGTTGCAAGAGATGGAAATGACGGTTCAGGTAAAGACAGATTGATATTTTTACAACTTGCGAAGATTTTGTACTAGAAATTTGAACGTTTAAGACATAGTTTGATAGATAGCGCATTAGTGATTTTTTTCTGAAACACTTTTATATAAAATTAAGCATTATTGGTAGTGGGGGAAGACGTCATGGATGCAAATTTTTTTAAATATAATTTTTAATGGGCTACATGCAAGCCTTTTGGCCAAAATAAACGTAACAATAGGCTGTTTATTTGACCGTTTATGACTCCTCATCTAATAAGCAGCAAACTCACGACGGCAATGTGGTAGCCCGGAGGTATTCTACAAACACAAGAACAGTGCTAATGCCTATATGTATTGTTTTCACATTGTTTATGACAGCCTCTAGGTGTAAATGTCATTTTTACTAATTGCTATTTATATTTGTCTCATTAGTGAGAGGCAGCTGATGTCCTATGCCATGGAACTGCTCATATACTCGGAGAAATTCAGAAAAGCTCTGGGCTCATCTGAATTTTTGAAGAGGCTGTAGCATTGTGTGGACTTTTTTTTTTTGGAAGGTTTTTGTAAGGCCAATAAAAGTTGTTGCTGGTTGTTTCATTTGTCTGAACTTTTTTCTAAAGCCAAACTTTTCTGCTTTTGTGTTTACAGTATATTCTTTACAGATTAGTGAATGGTCAATATCAACTAGTCTTGTGAATTGTATACTTAATGCAAAATATTTTAGTAATTTCTAAATTAATACATTTTGTATCAAAGGGCCAGCAATTATTCCTGTTAACAGAATATATGAAATGCATATATACACATGTAAATATGCCTAAAAATTACACATCAGCAGCTTTTCACTGTAAAGAAGCAATAAAAAAATCATTAATAGTAACATAAATATTAACTACTCACTCGTATGAACTTAGACCCACTGTTAGTGCCTGTAATAACAAATGGTTGAAAGTTAAATGTTGCTGTAGGAGGCGTGCTCCCAAAAATGGAGGCTAGTGGGCTTAAGGGGTTAATTTAAACGATTACCACTAAAATAAACACTTGCACATACATTACTCACCTGCTAACGTAAGTAAGCATAGGTATGTTGTGCCTATTGTCCGGCAACTGATTATTTGTTGGTGGTAACTGTGTTTTATAATCTCACTGGGGATGGCCAAAAAAATCCATACATTCATATTTAAACCTGGAGTCCTGTCTGTTTAATTACATTATTACTGTTTATTTATTTTCTTTCAATTGTGTTGTTCGCTGGGAGGGCCTCCGTTATTGAGCTCGGGGGGGGTAGCTCAGCTCAACGGGGGGGCGTGTTTTGTCGGGGGGGGGGGGGGGTGGCCGGGGGCGTGGTCGGGGGGGGGGGGGGGGGTGCCGGGGGCGTGTTTGGCCGGGGCTACGTCCGCAGCTAGGTATTATTGCAACTCAGCCTCGCCAGGAACCTCAACGGACCAGAGACTAATAATGGACCATTCCCATAATAATGGGCCTGGTATTTTTCCGGGCCAACCAAAGCCCCATTCCCACCTGTACCGGGTCGGCCCGGGCCGGGTAGCATAGGTTGTTTACATATCTGGGTGGCCTGGAATTTTCCCGGGCCAACCAAGGCTCATTCTCGGCCCTCTTCCCGAGGGGTACTGCTTCAGGCCGACCAGGGCCAACACGCCCACTGCTGACAGCAAATTCACACCTTCCATTAGAGCAAGCCTCTGATTGGTGGGTAGAATCAGCCCATTCACACCTTCCATTAGAGCAAGCCTCTGATTGGTGGGTAGAATCAGCCCACATGGGCTTAAGGCAAGGATGTGTGGAATCAACCGGGCCAGGCTGGGGCCGACTGGGGCTACCCGGCCCGGGCCGACCCGGTACAGATGGGAAAGGCCCATTATTAAACCTGGGAACAAGTAGCGCGAAAATACTGAACCGTGCTCTTGGAAAAGGTGCTTGGGCTGAGCTGCCCCGTTCTGAGTTATTCTGAGTAAAAAACCAGCAGTGCAGGCATGACGCACGCCACTGGTGCTAAACAGCAACTAAATAAATCAGAGAATTAAAACCAACGAAGTAACAATTACAGAGTAAAATATCAGCAACAGCTTACCACAGAGTTAAACATAAAAGTAGGTGCTCCGTCTCATTTAAACACCACTACTGATGAAGAGACCCTAACAGAAAAGTTCTGCTACCGAGAACGTCCCATCTCCTCTCGTCTTCAGTCGAGCTCTGGGAGCCAAAAGCAGCAGCTGGTCCACAGACCGGAGCGTCCGAGCAGGAGTGTACGGCTGCAAGAGTGCTGGAGCCAACCCATTCAGGGTACAGGGCCACCCCTCTATCGCCATTAACCAGCTGACAGGTAGCCAAAATCATCTATATCTAGAGGTACTCTACGACTAGAGGTACTATAAGACGAGATGCACTCTAAGAAGACTAGAGGTACTCTAAGACTAGAGGTACTCTAAGAAGACTAGAGGTACTCTAAGACTAGAGGTACTCTAAGAAGACTAGAGGTACTCTAAGAAGACTAGAGGTACTCTAAGACTAGAGGTACTATAAGACTAGATGTACTCTAAGAAGACTAGAGGTACTCTAAGACCAAAGGTACTATAAGACTAGATGTACTCTAAGAAGACTTGAGGTACTCTAAGACTAAAGGTACTCGAAGAGTAGAGGTACTCGAAGACTAGAGGTACTCTAAGAAGACTAGAGGTACTCTAAGACTAAAGGTAATATAAGACTAGATGTACTCTAAGAAGACTTGAGGTACTCTAAGACTAAAGGTACTCGAAGACTAGAGGTACTCGAAGACTAGAGGTACTCTAAGAAGACTTGAGGTACTCGAAGACTAGAGGTACTCTAAGAAGACTTGAGGTACTCGAAGACTAGATGTACTCGAAGACTAGAGGTACTATATGACTAGAGGTACTCTTAGGCTTCAGGTAGTCTAAGACTTGAGGTACTATATACTTTAAAAACGACCATTAAGTTGGAGTTCCAGTCCGGGGGTGGGGGGTATTGAGTACCACTGATCTAGAGGCTAACCCCGCAGACTGAACGTTAGCTGCTAGCCGCTTCTATTGAAAATGCACTGATTGTTAGCTTTTAGCTAACGTTCAACTATACCAGGTTCCGACCCAAACTGGACATAATTTAAACCCGGAGTCTGGTATCTTAAGAAGCGAACCGAAGCAAAACATAATCCCACACACGAATTACATCAAAACAGAGTACCTGTGCCCAGAATGACTACGTCAAATTCAGACGGCAAATCCTCGGCAGCCATGTTGTTTCCTATGAGCTAATGTCACGTGAAAGAATAACGTCATCAATTCTCTTTTTCTGGTCGGCTCAAAACATCCCTCGACCGCGCTGTCAATGGACGTCGGTACGCGGCGGCCATCTTACTTCGGACAGCTGTCCCCTACACTGGTGTTTAGTGGTGCAGCATGCACTATTTAAACAACTCTTTCAATTTTCAACCGATTTTCATACGGTTTGATTTTTTAGAAACATTAGAGACGTGGCTATGAAATATATCAGTTTTAGCAGGAAAATCCCCTTATTTCACTTCACTTTTCAACCGTTTTCCCCAATCCTGTCAATTTTCCAGAGACTTACCGTTTTAATGTCAACTAGATCTGCTTCTGACGAACTAGCTGTAGTTTGTAAACTGTGGTCAACTTATATATATATAAGTTTTAAGATACCTTATAACTTACCATATCAACTTATAAAAACTCAATACCTGATTTAATTTACAGAAAATAGTAAAAATAAATAAATACACAGATGCAACAAACAAAATTGAAAGTTAAAACACCCAGTCCTAAAAACAAAGCAAAACAACTCTAGAACCTCAATGACTGAGAAAATATTTTATAAAAAGACAAGGATATACAGAATACATTTTATTTACTTTGACTTTAATATTTGCAAGTAATATGAACCTAATATATACTTGCTTTGGCAATTTATAATTTATATTTATTTCCACTTTCAGCCTGCAACCCATTTAAAATGAAAGTTTGAGAAGAGAAAACTGGGATAATTGTGAGTTAAAGGGCTACATAAACACTTCAAAAATGAAAGAGTAAATGAATGACAGACTGACAGTTATGAAAAACATGTTTATTACAGATTATACATGTTTTGATAATAAAAATAACAGATCTACAGACAGATGCTAAAGCACATTGTGGTTTCCTACTGACCTGAGAAAAGGACAGCTTTTGTGAGCTTCTGTCTCACGCGGTCACACTGAAAGCTACGAGTTGCTAATCTTGCAATGTGGTGCATCCTCAGCTTAAAGAACAGGGAGACAATAGATGTCAACAGTGTATGGGAGTGAGACTCTGTGTCTCACTGATGTGCTCCCCAAGCAAAAACACATCCTCTGACTCGATCCTCTTGCGCACAATGTAGATGACCTCCAGTGGTTTGATGGGCTGTGATCGTCTGCCCACTGATGCCTGGCGAATTGCCCACACTGCTGCTCTGATGACCCTCACAGTACCTTCAGATGGGACCACAAGACCCCCGTTGCTCTTCAGAGTCAGCAAATGCTAGCTCTGGTCATCACAGGCAGATGCAGCATGCATCACCAGGCTGGCACGGCAGACATCACAGGACAGCTTGGTCATGGCTCGCTACACAACAAATCCTGAAATTACAATTACCAATGTAACTGGACAGTGTGGTTGCCTTTATACTGTACATAGGCCTATAGAGCATGGTGTCAGGTGAGAAATCAGACGAGAACTATAGTTTGACTACCTAAAGGCAAACAAGTAATCATGATTAGTAAGTGTGGCATTTATTCATTATATTTATTTATCAGGGGGATTTTATAAGCCAGAAGTTTTTCTAAAGACTACAAACATCTTTTGTGTTTTTCTTCTGACCGCATTTTTAGGTTCTTTTTCAAACACAGGGAAGGTTTTTTACCTTGCTGACAGTTTTGATTGTGACACCACTGAGAGTCAGCTCTGAGGAAGATCGCAGACACTTCTTAGGGCAACTTCCCACTGCCTCCTTCTTTCTCCATCTTTGGGAACTCTTAAGTGACAATGTAGGCAGCTTTATAAAATCATTGTAAATAGCTTACAGCCTTTTCCTTTAACGTTAACATAAGACAAACAATAGTTAAACAAAAGGTGTCATGACAGAAACATGCAATGAATGATTAACCAAGAAATCTTGAATTCAAGCAATTAAACTTTTTAAAACCACAGTTAGCGAATACATCTTAAACTTTGTGTGGCAAGAAAGAAACAGCGGTATAAATAAATCAAGGATAAAAATATTGTAACAACGCCACCCTGGCTTAGCCCCCCCAGGGAAGGGTAGAAGGCCTGTTGGTTAAAAAAAAATCACAATGGGAACAGATGGTTTCTTTCAGATAAACAAATCTTTATTAAAAATCTAAGCTAAAACCCCATACAGGTGGAGTTTAAGGGCTTGAGTCCACAGGAAGTAACCACGTTGACCTAGGGCCATCAAATGCTAAAGGAAGTTAAACCGACCAAACTTAGACACACCAAACACACCAACTAATAATAAAACATAAAAAAATACAGTCGTACACAGACGAAATCGGGGTACTTCCTTTCAACCCTGTGAACGTTCTAGTGGTTGCCCCGGCAACCAGGCGTCCGAGCCTGACAACCAATGGGCCATTCCCATCTGTACCGGGTCGGCCCGGGCCGGGTAGCGTAGGTTGTTTACATATCTGGGTGGCCTGGTATTTTTCCGGGCCAACCAAGGCTCATTCTCAGCCCTCTTCTCGAGGGGGTCTGCTTCAGGCCGACCAGGGCCAACACACCCACTGCTGACAGCAAATTCACACCTTCCATTAGAGCAAGCCTCTGATTGGTGGGTAGAATCAGCCCACATGGGCTTAAGGCAAGGATGTGTGGAATCAACCGGGCCAGGCTGGGGCCGACTGGGGCTACCCAGCCCGGGCCGACCCGGTACAGATGGGAATGGCCCATAATTAACACCAATCACTGTAGGCGAAACAAATCCATACGGACAGAACAGCAGTGAGTAGTCCTCTGGGCCCACAACCGGCGGCTCTGGAGATGAAATTGGTCATGGCGAGATGGAGCAGCAGGAGGGCCAGTGCACCGCAGACGCCGTCAGACAATCCGCTACTCTATGTGGCACCGCTGCGTGAAAATTCAGATGGAATGGCGGCTCTCGGGCACACCAGATGGGCAGCCGCACTGCAAAACACACAAACTAGCATGGTCCCCCTGGATCAGTACAACCCCCCCCCCCCCCCCCCCCCCCAATCAGAGGCAAAGACTTACGGTCGTAGCCGCTGAGTCAGATCAGCCTTAATACGGCTGCCCCACACACATGGGCAGAGATCTGATTAGGAGTACTTGGATGCAGTTTAACACTGTAACAGCATATGCAGCTCCAGTCTGCGATCACACGATACAAAACACATTAAGATGGAGCAACGAGCATTAGCTAATGCCGCACAAGCAACACAGGAGGGAGAGTGCAATCGCTGCTTGTAGTTGGTGTCTCAACCATCGACATATAAATACTGGACAATTCATTTCCATAGGCTCCAATAACACGTTTTTGAGGCCAAATGGGAGGTGGCCACCACCGCTATTTTGACCGTGTCACAGGTTCCGTCAAGCCCAGACAATTCCACAAAAGGGAAGAGAGGTGGAGCTGAGGGTGGGGCTGTAAGGCTGGGATCAACTGACGACACCCGGTATAACTAGCTACAAGCTAACCCAAAGCTAATGCGGAGGTGGGAGCTAAGCTAACGGAGGTAGCAACCTAGCTACAACCGGAGTTAACTGTGCACAACACCAGAGCTTCTGAGTCAGAGATACGCCGGGCTGACCGCTGGGTAAAACCGGGTGGAGCACAGAGGTCTCCGAGACCTCCACAAGCCGGCAGTCACACAGCAGACAAGTGCCACTGAGATCTGAGATGCACAGAGCTGCCGCTGGGGAGAACCGGGTGGAAAGGTTTCCATCCCAGAGCTCCACAAGCAGGCAGCCCGCGCAGCAGACAGAAGCCGCAATCAGACAGAGATGCGCCGAGCTGCGGGGAGGAGAGAAGAGCTCCACAAGCCGATAGTCAGAACCCAGCTCCACCAACATGTTATATTTCAACCCATTTTCTAAAGTGCAGCATTATGTTAAATGCACTGGGGTTTACCCTATTACATTTAAATTTCATGGTTAAACAGTACATGTTAAAATCTAAGCTCAGCTCGGCAGTGACCTAAAATACATAAATATAATTTTACTTACTGAAAAAAATGAAGTGGAGACTCCTTGGACGCTCTATTAGTGCAATTAATGCCACAGCAAGTCATTTTATCCAACAATTGCACAAAAATATCCAAAAAAGAATACACACACACAGAGACTCAAAATCCTGGAGCAGTTTCCAGGCCAGACCGAGGTTCTACTGAGGCCTTTCCCCGGAGCTAGCTCTGTGGTCACGTGGGTCTGATGCTCATTAATTATACAGAATTTTAGGCTTTTAATACACTTAAACATAAGAGTGAGAAAAAAAATTCACCTCCCTCAGAGTTGTCTTGAGTGTAAACTAGATCATTTAAACCAAAAACATGTTCTGGTACCAGGCTGTAAACATGTTTATTTCTGCTGTGAAATTGGTATTTTTAACATGGGAGTCAATGAGGATTTGCTCGCTTCTGACACCAGCCCCTAGTGGATGAGGTTGGAACTGCAATTTTTGGTACTTCCGGGTTGGCCTCAATTTTTGAGCCGCATTGTGGGGGCTTGGGTGGCACGCATTAGACAGATAACAGGGCGGGGCGAGCCATCCAATAAAAGGCAGCTGTTTGCTCCTCCAGCAGGACAGCTCTTGTGTGACACCTCAGGTGCAAGTGTGTGTGGAGATATATGAACCCAGTCACGAATAGATTTATGGTTAGTGTCTACACATGGATTACAATATGTCACAGATGTTCTCACTCACATGCCCCGTTATCTGATCATAAATTAATAAGTCTTAGATTAAAATGAGTTAAAGAACAACCAAGTATTAGAGGCTATTGGAAATTTAACAATGACCTTTTGGATGATAGAAAATTTAAGGAAAGTGTTTCATTTTTGGTTGAGAAAATCTTTATGGAAAGGGAGATGGATCCACTTCAAAAGTGGGAGTTTTTCAAATATAAGGTTCGGGAAACAGCAATAAAACGTTGTAAAGAAATAAAGAATCAGAACACAAATAAAATGCATTAAATTAGAGCCCCTAATATCTAAGCAAGACTTGTCTGAAAGTGAATTAAAAACTCTGTCCAATCTAAAAGATGAACTTGATAAAATGTATGTCAATTTAGCTAGAGGTGCATTCATAAGGTCTAGAGCTAAATGGTTAGAGGAAGGAGAGAAAAACTCTAGTTACTTTTCTGCTCTAGAAAAAAAGAAACAACATTGTGGCTCTTAATATTAACGGTATAATAAACTCAGACCCTGCTATGACCGCCAATTATAATACCTCATTTTACAGTGATTTGTATTCTACAAAATTGAATCAGACCAATTGTGACAGATTCTTAAATCATATTAGGATGTTTACACCTCTGATATCGGAGGCCTTTAAAGACTCTTGTGACGCTTTTATTTCCAGAGATTACAGGTTTTTTGCGTTCAACGAAGTTAGGAAAGTCTCCAACGGACTCTCAGTAGAATTCTATCTTTGTTTTTGGGAATTAATTGGTAGTCACCTTTTTCTGATGTTCAAAGAATGTATAAGTAGGCAAGAAATGACAACAGCTATGAAACAAGGTCTTATAACTCTGCTCCCTAAGACAGACAAAGATCCTTTAAAAATAGAAGATTGGAGACCTATCTCGCTTTTAAATATTGATTCAAAATTTCATCTTTGGTGTATGCGAAAAGACTGAAAAAGGATTTAGGTGAGATAATAAGTGAAAACCAGAACGGATTTCTTCCCAAACATCTCATTAGCTCTAATATTAGACTAGTGTTGGATCTAATCGATTATTCAAACTTTATAAACTCCGATGCTTTGATGATTTTCCTTGACTTTTATAAGGCATTTGATTCGATTGAACACACCTTCATTTTACAAGCACTTCATATTTTAGGTTTCGGAGAGTTGATTATTAGTGTCATTGAAATGCTTTATAAAGATATAAACAGCTCAATAATTTTATATCTGCAGATGTCTGGGAGGTTTCCGATATTAAGAGGTGTACGACAGGGCTGCCCAATTCCTTGCGTTTTGTTTCTGATCGCCGCTGAACTTTTGTTTTTAAATATTTCACACAATCCAAATATTCATGCTTTAGAAATTTTAATAAAGAAGTTAAGATGTCCCAATTGGCAGATGACACAGTCTTGTTTCTTAGAGATAAATCACAGATACCAAATGCTCTACATGCAATACGAGAATTTTCAGAAGCTTCAGGACTATAGCTAAATGTTGATAAAAGTGAAATTTTATGTTTATATGAAACCAATGACCAATATATGTTCAATATTCCCGTCAAACAAACTGTTAGATATTTAGGAATTCACATAATAAAAGACAAAATGATGAGACAAACATTAAATCTGCAATCAAGGATTAAAAAAACGCATTTGATTCTTAATATGTGGCTGCAAAGGGACCTCTCTATTTTTGGCAGGTTGTTGTTAACAAAAGCGGAAGGCACATCAAGGTTAGTATATCCCGCCCTCTCCCTTCATGTTAATGATGCAACTTGTAAAGAAATTAACAGTTTATTTGTAAACTTTGTCTGGAAGAACAGGTAGCATCATCTAAAAAAAGACATACTCTATCTGGAAAGAGCAAGGGGCGGGGCTTAGAACTCTTTTTCCACTTAAACAACACCTTTAAAGTCAAATGGATTAAAAAATGTCTAGAAATGCCAGAATCTTTGTGGAACTTTATTCCACACAACACGTTTAAAATGGTAGGGGGTTTAAATTTTCTGTTACGTTGCAACTTTATTATTTCTAAATTACCAGTGAAACTTTCAGTGTTTCACCAGCAGGCTTTACTTGCATGGGAATCAGGCCATACACACAATTTCTCCCCACACAAAGAAATATTATGGAATAATGGTAATATTACTATAAACAACAAAAGCTTATACAAAATGAATTGGGTTGAGAAAGGCATCATTTTTGCTGCAGATTTATTTGATGATAACGGAAGCCGTTATAGCTATGAAAACTTTTTGAAAACTAAGGATTTTCCAGTGAAATACAGAGAATTTGCCTCGGTCATGAGAGCCATTTCTTCAGGCGTAGGTGAGTTAATGAGAGCACACTCTGTTTATCAGAGATTTAGTTTGCAGATGCCATCTCTAAAAGTTGGGGGTATTGATTTATTAGACAAGAAATGGTCAAATCAGCATATTAGGAAGGTTTTATGTTGTTCTGATACGGTGGCACCCAGAGGAAAGATTTTCTGGAACACACAGTTTGATATAAATTGGAAGAAAGCATGGATGGTTCACTTTCAATACTGTATTTCAAACAAGATAAGGGAACTTAATTTAAAATTTTACACAATATTTATCCATTTAACAAAAATTATCATTGTTCAGAGATCTGGATGAAAAATGTACCTTTTGTCATACGGGTTCAGAGACTATCATCCACTTATTTCATAATTGTCCTCTCTCATCTGGATTTTGGAAAGATATGGAAAATTGTATTAAGATTAAATCCAAACACACTATCCAAATCAGATCTAAGGATGCTATTATCAAGTTTGAATGTAACGATAAAATGTTAAGTTTTATAATTAATCTAATGCTTCTTTTAGGGAAATTTCATATAAATAAAGCGAGGGTCCCTAACTTTTGCGTTTTCTTAAATGATTCCACTCGTATGTTAACGCCATGAAGTTAATGGTAAATAAGTAGGCAGAACTCACTTTAATGAGTCTTCAGTGTTTATTTCTGATTGACTCTGTATAACAAAAACAATAAAAAAAAGTGCCTTTTGGAAGGTTGTATGATCTGTTATGTGCCTCTTGTCGATGAATGAGCTGATGTCTGTTCGTGTGTATATTTGATGTATGTTTGTTAGTGTGATTATGTATTTGTGACAAAAACAAATAAAGCTTATTTAAAAAACAACAAAAAAAAAAAACAAGCATCCTTCCCGTGGTTTCGGACACACCCATCGTCTATTAGATCATCTATAGGCAGCACAAGTCAGGCATGCTTGTTGGGTTTCACGTGTATTTCTGTAAAAATAAAGCCAGATATTTCTGCTATTTTGATATACTTCAATCTAAGTTTTTTACATTTTTTTAACTAAGTAAGCCGCCTGGAAAACAAGGGCAATCGCTTCTCGGCCTAAGATTCAAAGATTCCAATAAGCCACAATAATTTAGTGTTCGATGCTGTGCCTTCAGGTCTTCCTGCGTTATTCAGGTCATGTGATATCTCTCCATTATCATTATAAGATCCAGCTCTGCTAGTGCTAGTCTGTTTCTCTACCTATAAAACCTCCCAACTCCAAAATCAGACCCTTATTTCAGGCTGACCTAGTCTCTGTCTCCTGCAACCATTCATTGGGATAAGTGTGAACACAACGTGGACTGGGTTAGGATCTGGTCCCTACCACAGAAGTTTCTTTTAACCAACAAAGTTAAAGATCATCGGCTGCTGTGGCCCCCAGACTCTGGACCCCCCCCCCCCCCCCCCCGAGCCTGGGATCAGTGGTCTCCTTTAAACTCACCTGTTCAGGCTTTGGTGGCACCTTCACCACCCTCTCCTTGTTCTGCTGTTGTTCCACCAGGATCCACTGATTTCCCATCGTATGACACGTCTGATTTGTAGTTTTTTAACTCGTTCACTGCCAATGACTACTTAAGTCGTCATTTGCATTCTTGTACTGTTCGAGCATCGGAACGAGCCCCCGCACCGTGAGAACAAACATCACAGCTTTAAAGCCGATCTTCATACGCATATGTCACACATCACGTGATCAGGAAGCAGAACATCCATGTGTTAGGAGATTGTTTTGGGTCGTTACTGTAAAAAAAATTGAGGCGCAAACCGGAAAAGCGTCTGCCGATCACAATTCGACAACGGATTATGAAAGAACGGATAACGCTCGAAACGCGCGGATTCTTCCTGATGTAAGAGGCGAGTCTGCTTTGTTTTGGCGTCGACATCATTCTAGCGCGCAACGTTTTCTGACTCTTAAACAGTAAAAACGGTGAGAAACGCTGGCAGTGAATGAGTTAATTACCAATTTTTACGAATCACCTGGAGCCTTTAGAAAAAAAGCTCGACAGCAAACTGGTTCAGATGGTTTTATTCAGGAATCAGATTAAAAATAAAGTGTGAATGACATCAGCATCGCTGTTGTGAAGAACCTAACTGGACTTCAGTACTTGGGTCTCTTCACATCCACCCTGAAAAAGAAACACAAGTTGTTTACCTGTAACCAGATGTTTATTTGTTTAACGGTTTCAATGGTAACAACCAGCTGAGTAGAAATCAGCAAACAAACAGGATGTAGTTACCCATCAGCCTCCAGCTTCTTCCTCTTCTCAATGATCTGAAACAGATGAAGGAACAGTCAGACTGAAACCACAAATGAAATGGACTTCCTGTTTGTGATGTGGATTCTCACCGCGCTGATCTTCTTCCACTGGCGGTCTAGCTCAGCCTTCTCATTGGTCTCCTTAAAGCGCCGGGTCTTTCGCCCTTCGGACATTTTGATGCCATACTGGAAGGCAGCCCTGCAGGAACAGACTACTGAGCAAAAGCACAACCTGCAGCCTGCCAGTCAAGGCCGAGGGTTATACGTACTTGGGAAGAGCCTCCTTGTTGTTCATGTAGTCCGAGTACTCCTCCTGGGTGTCAAAGTCCCAGCGACCCAAAGGACCCTTTTTGTTCCCCTGAAAAAGATGCAACATTCAGCATTTCTGACGGGGGCAAAGCAGAACTGCATGCTGGGTGTTGTAGTTACCTGGTCCATCTTACTGTAGTCTACCTCTTCATCACTGTCCACTGCCAGGTCGTCCATCCTGAACACAGGGATTCACTCTGATTTAATGACATCCTGCCTTAGGGAGGAGTAGGGTTGAAACCACTAATTTGTTTGACTCTTAACCGCGGTGTGAATAAAAACAGCTGGAACCAAAGACAGGTGGAGCAGTAAAGACTAGTGTGGTGTGCCAAAGTCCATCTACAGGTGCTGGCCAGTAAATTAGAATATCATCAAAAGGTTGAAAATATTTCAGTAATTCCATTCAAAACGTGAAACTTGTACATTATATTCATGCAATGCACACAGACCAATGTATTTCCGATGTTTACTACGTTTAATTTTGATATTTATAGGTGACAACCAATGAAAACATCAAATCTGGTATCTCAGAAAATTAGAATATTCTAAAGGCCAATGAAAAAATGTTTGTTTCTCTAATGTTGGCCAACTGAAAAGAATGAACATGAAAAGAATGTGCATGTATAGCACTCAATACTTAGTCGGGGCTCCTTTTGCCTCAATAACTGCAGTAATGCGGCGTGGCATGGACTCGATCAGTCTGTGGCACTGCTCAGGTGTTATGAGAGCCCAGGTTGCTCTGATAGTCGTCTTCAGCTCCTCTGCATTGTTGGGTCTAGCGTATTGCATCCTCCGCTTCACAATACCCCATAGATTTTCTATGGGGTTAAGGTCAGGCGAGTTTGCTGGCCAAACAAGGACAGGGATACCATGGTCCTTGAACCAGGTGCTGGTGGTTTTGGCACTGTGTGCAGGTGCCAAGTCCTGTTGAAAGGTGAAGTCTGCATCCCCATAAAGTTGGTCGGCAGCAGGAAGCATGAAGTGCTCTAAAACTTCCTGGTAGACGGCTGCATTGACCCTGGACCTCAGGAAACAGAGTGGGCCAACACCGGCAGATGACATGGCACCCCACACCATCACTGACGGTGGAAACTTTACACTGGACCTCATGCAACGTGGATTCTGTGCTTCTCCGCTCTTCCTCCAGACTCTGGGTCCTTGATTTCCAAAGGAAATGCAGAACTTGCTTTCATCAGAAAACATAACTTTGGACCACTCAGCATCAGTCCAGTCCTTTTTGTCCTTGGCCCAGGCGAGACGCTTCTTGCGCTGTTTCTTGTTCAAGAGTGGCTTGACACACGGAATGCGACACCTGAATCCCATGTCTTTCATGAGTCTCCTCGTGGTGGTTCTTGAAGCGCTGACTCCAGCTGCAGTCCACTCTTTGTGGATCTCCCCCACATTTTTGAATGGGTTTGTCGTCACAATTCTCTGCAGGGTGCGGTTATCCCTAGAGCTTGTACACTTTTTTCTACCACATTTTTTCCGTCCCTTCGCCTGTCTGTTAATGTGCTTGGACACAGAGCTCTGCGAACAGCCAGCTTCTTTAGCAATCACCTTTTGTGTCTTGCCCTCCTTGTGCAAGGTGTCAATGATTGTCTTTTGGACAGCTGTTAAGTCAGAAGTCTTCCCCATGATTGTGGTGCCTTCAAAACAAGACTGAGGGACCTTTTAAAGGCCTTTGCAGGTGTTTTGAGTAAATCAGCTGATTAGAGTGGCAGCAGGTGTCTTCTATATTCAGCCTTTTCAGAATATTCTAATTTTTTGAGATACCAAATTTGGAGTTTTCATTAGTTGTCACTTATGAATATCAAATTTAAATGTAATGAACATTGGAAATACATTGGTCTGTGTGCATTGCATGAATATAATGTACAAGTTTCACGTTTTGAATGGAATTACTGAAATATTTTCAACCTTTTGATGATATTCTAATTTACTGGCCAGCACCTGTATGTTAGTAACCCAGCTCAGCAGGGCCGTGCACAGACCTTTGATGGGGTTAGGTGCTCAAAGTAAAAAAAAAAAAGGGGCACTTATAGAGCAAAACTTTTATACAGATTCACAATCCAACAAGTTAGAAAATTCAGATAATGAGACAGATTAATCGTATCCTTAAAAAAAACAAGTCTGGACTCATCTCAGCCTAAAAATTACAGACCCATTTCTAAATTACCCATTATCTCTAAAACATTGGAAAAGGTTGTAGCAGATCAGCTGATTACTTTTCTGGAACTACACAACAGGTTTGATAAATTCCAGTCTGGTTTTGGTAAAAAGCGTTCAACAGAAACAGCTTTGCTTAAAGTTTCCAGTGACATCATGATGGCTGCAGTATTGTTAGATCTTTCTGCAGCTTTTGGCTCTGTTGATCACAGCACCTTCATTAACAGACTTGGTGACTCGGTGGGGATCTCTGGAACTGGTCTAGACTGGTTTAGATCGTACCTTTCTAACAGAAGTTACAGTGTCTGCATAAACCAAATCATGTCAGACTCTACTGATCTGTTCTGTGGGGTACCCCAAGGCTCTGTTTTGGGTCCACTGTTGTTTCTACTGTACATACAGCCTCTTGGACAGATAATTGATTCTTTTAATAATGTCTCTTATCACCTATGTGCAGATGACATTCAGCTGTACTGCTCCTTTAAGGACTCTGAGTTCTATCACCAGCTCAAAGAACTCTATTTTAATAAGCTAATCACGCAAAGTGTTAGTCAATAAATAAGATGTGACCGATCTGTGAAATCAAAATATTAATTACTTTGGGTCTCGCTAGACGCCAACAAAATCGTTGTGACCCGGAAGTATCTCCAGACTGGTCTGGTCGGCAACCGCTGCTTTGCATCCCATCAGAACGAATCGTTTCTTCGGATTTGCTGGTTCTGAGCAACATTCCACCTCACCCCATTCGCCGTCTCATCCTCCTTAGTTTCACCATACATTTAGTGTTTAAAGTTGTCTAGTTTAATTTGTTTAGTAATACATTTTTACACTTTTAAACTTGACTCTCTTCTGTTGTCTCGGAGTGAATACAAAGCTGTTATCTAATCCCTGCAATAAAAAGTTCCAATCTTCTGGTTTAAATTACTTCTCAGATCCATTAAGGTTGATTTCATATTTACTGTGGAATCCTACGTCTTATAGCTTATTAAATAACATGTAATTTAAATCATTACACCCTTTTATTTAAAGCTGCTTTTAACTAAACTTTTAACCCGGAGCCAGGCCTGGAGGTGGGGCATGTTGGCGAGCACCTGGCGGCCGGGCTTTCACCCATGGAACCCGGCCGGGCACAGCCCGAAGAGGAAACGTGGGTCCCCCTTCCCATGGGCTCACCATGCGTGGGAGGGGCCAAGGGGGTCGGGTGCAGTGTGTGACGGGTGGTAGTCGAGGGCGGGGACCTTGGCGGTCTGATCCTGGGCTGCAGAAGCTGGCTCTTGGCACATGGAATGTCACCTCTCTGGTGGGGAAGGAGCCTGAGTTGGTGTGTGAGGTCGAGAGGTTCCGACTAGATATAGTCGGACTCACCTCAACGCATGGCTCTGGCTCCAGAACCAGTTTCCTTGAGAGGGGTTGGACTTTCTACCTCTCTGGAGTTGCTCCCACTGAGAGGCGCCGAGCAGGGGTGGGCATGCTAGTTACCCCCCCATCTTGGTGCCTGTACGTTGGAGTTTACCCCGGTGAATGAAGGGGTAGCCTCCCTCCACCTACGTGTGGGTGGACGGGTTCTGACTGTGGTCTGTGCTTATGCACCAAACTACAGTTCAGACTACCCACCCTTTTGGGAGACCTTGGAGGAGGTGCTGGAGAGAGGTCCTTCAGGTGACTCCCTCGTTCTGCTGGGGGACTTTAACGCTCACGTGGGCGACAACAGTTAGACCTGGAGAGGTGTGGTTGGGAGGAACGGCTCCCTTGATCTGAATTTGAGTGGTGTTTTGTTATTGGACTTCTGTGCCAGTCATGGATTGTCCATAATGAACTCCATGTCCAGACATAAAGGTGTCCATGTGTGCTCTTGGCACCAGGACACCTTAGGCCGCAGCTCGATGATCGACTTTATTGTTGTTTCATCTGACCTGCGGCTGCATGTCTTGGACACTCGGGTGAAGAGAGGGGCGGAGCTGTCAAATGACCACTACCTGGTGGTGAGTTGGCTCCGATGGTGGGGGAGGATGCCGGTCAGACCAGGCAGGCCCAAACGTCTGGCAGAGTCTCCTGTCAGAAGGAGCTTCAATTCCCACATCCCACAGGACTTCCAAAATGTTCCGGGGGAGGCGGGGGACATCGAGTCAGAATGGACCCTGTTCCATTGTTGAGGCGGCTGACCGGAGCTGTGGTCGCAGGATCGTCGGTGCCTGTCGTGATGGCAACCCCCAAACCTATAAGAACTTTTTGGCCTGTGGGACTCCAGAGGCAGCTGACGGGTACCGGCAGTCCAAGCGGAACGCGGCTCGGGTGGTCACGTAGGCAAAAACCCGGGCGTGGGAGGAGTTCGGTGAGACCATGGAGCAAGACTTCTGTACGGCTTTGAGGAGATTCTGGTCCACCATCCGGCGCCTCGGGGGGGGGGGGGGGGGGGGGGGAGCAGTGCGCCACCAACACTATCTATAGTGGGGACGGTGTGCTGCTGACCTCTACTCAGGACGCTGTGGATCGGTGGGCAGAATACTTCGACGACCTCCTCAATCCCACCGACACGTCTTCCAGTGAGGAAGCAGAGTCTGGGGACTTTGAGGTGGCCTCACAAATCTCCACCCTGAGATCCGCCCAGAGTTCCTTAAGGCTCTGGATGATGTGGGGCTGTGTTGGCTGACGCGGCTCTGCAATATCGCGTGGACATCGGGGGCAGTCCCACTGGACTGGCAGACCGGGGGGGTGGTGGTGCCCTTATTTAAAAAGGGGGACCTCGGGGTGTGTTCCAACTACAGGGGGATCACACTCCTGAGCCTTCCTGGTAAGGTCTGTTAAGGGATTCTGGAGAGGAGGGTCGGTCGGATTGTTGACCCTCAGATTCAGGAGGAACAATGTGGTTTTCGTCCTGGCCGGGGAACACTGGACCAACTCTATACCCTTAGGGGGATCCTGGAGGGTGTGTGGGAGTTTCCGGGCACGTCCAACTGGGAGACCTAAAGGGAGACCCAGGACAAGTTGGAGGGACTATTGTCTCTCATCTGGCCAGGGAACACCTTGGGATTTTCCTGGAGGAGCTGGCCCAAGTGGCTGGGGAGTGGGAAGTCTGGGCGTCTCAACTTAGGCTGCTGCCTCCATGACCCGACACTGGATAAACGGATGGATGTATGGATGGATATATGTGTAGCTGCGTTGTGGGGAGCAGGGTAGTCGGTTGTGTGTGTGTAGCAGCAGGGTTGTGTGTGTGTGTGTGTCTTACGTAGCGGGATAACACTCGGCGTAGGAGTTGGACCCTCCAAAGAAGTCTCCCAGGTGCTCCTTACTGGAGTCCCTCCTCTGAGAACCAGTATCTGCTTGTTAAGGTCCAAACAGCAGACAGCCCCCCCCCATCCCTCAAAGAAAACCTTCAGAAGTCCTGATCCACACCACAGAAGAAGATAACAGAGATGTCTGAATGAAGACAGAAGCAGCACTAATGTGTGATCGGAGACATCAGAAGTGGACCAATAGTGAGAAAGGATATGGCTCCTGGCCTTGCCACTGGCTGCCGGCAGCTCCACCAAACTTCTCGTTGATCATGTTGATCTGGTCTCTGACTGATCCAGGACCTGAAGGGTAAAGGATGATGGGTGAGAACCACAGGTGTATCCATGGTTACAGTTTGTTCTAATAAAGAGGGACCTGCGTCCACATCCATCAGCTGGTGTTCGTCTGCTCTGGGCTTCTCAAAGTAGCTGTGTCTCCGGCTCTTGCTGTCGTCCTCTCTGTTCCGTTCCCGGTGCCGGTCCTTGTCTTTGACCGGTTTAGTGGTTGAAGTGGCGGATGGGATGTAGTCCCCAATGTCGTCAAAAATGCTGCAACACAAACAGAGGCATGACCTGGACACGCTTCCTGGCACCAGACTAGCGGAGCAGAGGTGAGTGGTGTGAAACTGACCTCAGATCAGCTTCAGGAGCCCTCTTATCATCCAGTTTCCCTGAAACAGACAGGCACGCATCAACGGGAAGCCACATAGGCTGGTCCTGAGGACGTGTCTCAAGCTTTAAAATAAGCTCACCCTTGTCCTTCTTCTTGAGCTTCTTGTGGCGTGTCCCCTGTCTCAGGTAGGACAGGATCTGAGTCAGCTTAGAGATCACGATGTCATTAGTGGTGAGAGTTGTCTGAGCCTGAAAGCCAGATGGAGACAAGTCCTTCAGAACATCAACAGGGACACAGGAGACAGATCAAATCCGCGAGACAGCTCTCACCTCCATACTGGGACAGTCAGCCTTGCTACGGATCAGAGTGGTGGGGATGTCGGTGTCTGTGAATTCATCGTCCAGGTCCACCACGTACGCCATCCTGCCAGGCAGGAAGAGCTCGTTCCGCTCTGAAACCCCAGACCTGAACACCATACGGAAGATGTTCCTCCCTGGACAGAAAGGCCTCAGAGTTTAGGATGTGAGGACAACCCCCACCCTCCTGATCCAGATCCTGGATCCAGGTTAGCGTTCGTCGTGGTCTGGAGTCACAAAATGACTCACCAAGACGAGTCTTGAACTCAATCTTCTCCTCTGGTTCCAGGTCTTTCCTGCAACACACAACATGACCTTTAGGCCTGTGACCAGGTTCGGCAGCGAGGACTAAACTGTAGACCGCGTCCTTACTTGGTCTCTTTCTGGACTTTGTCCATCAGGTCTTCTTCCTCTTTCTCCTTGCTGGTGATTTCAGCCCTCACCTGTAACACACATCTCAGGTGAGCTACACAGGTAAGCAGCGGGAGAGAGAGACATGTTTGTTCAAGTAACATCCCTCGGGAGGCTGAAAGATGGCGCCAGTGCTCAGCTGGTCTCTTACTACTCTGCTTCTTTTTCAGTTGTTTTAGTCCTCAGATGGTTGTGTCAGCCTTAACATCTGGGATGGATGTGTAACCATCAGACTCTTCTCTGTGTAAAAGCTTCTGAAATCCAGACGGGAAGAGCTACAAATAAATCATTCCCACCCCCTGTGGTGTTCCCAGCATTAGGAAGCCTTTGGTCCTTCGTTAAGTCTAATTTATCCGTCTGCGTCGGGACGGACGCACGCGACGCCATCATCCGTCCTGCCGAGGGCTCAAGGACAGACGGAGTGGAGCTCTTTTCTAAACATCTGTCCATCGAGATGGAGAATGCAAGCTTGTGATTGGTCAGAAGCCACTGACGTCTACAGCGCCGCCATCGCGCCCTCAACAACAATACAATAAAATACAAAAATAAGCTTCAACAAACTAGAACTGCTTATTTTTCAGCACTAATTGAGGAGAATAAGCATAATCCTAAATTTCTCTTCAGTACAGTTGCTAAACTTACACAGAATCATAGCTCTGAGCCATCTATTCCCTTAGCCCTCAGCAGCAATGACTTCATGGGATTTTTTACAAGTAAAATTAATTCTATTAGAAACAAACTCTTTAGCATCCTCCCTAATGCGATTTCTTCTTCCTCAGTAAGTGAGGCAGCATCAGAGGTGACTATAGAACCTCATCTGTGCTTGAACCGTTTTGATCCAGTTGAGCTTTCAGAGTTATCAAAAATATTAGCTTCATCTAAACCTTCAACTTGCATTTTGGATCCAATCCCAACCAAATTATTTAAAGATGCATTTCCTTTGGTTACTGCCCCCATTCTAGATATAATCAATCTATCCTTAGTGAATGGGTATGTACCACAAGATTTTAAGGTTGCTGTAATCAAACCTTCACTTAAGAAGCCTTCTCTGGATCCAGATGACCCAATGAATTATAGACCAATATCTAACCTTCCATTTTTATCCAAAGTCCTGGAGAAAATAGTGGCCATCCAAGTATGTGAGCATTTAAACACTAATGCTCTGTTTGAGGAATTTCAGTCTGGTTTTAGAGAGTATCACAGCACTGAAACTGCATTAGTGAGAGTTACAAATGATATTCTCATGGCCTCAGATAAGAATCTTGTGTCTGTTCTAGTCTTGTTAGATCTCAGTGCTGCCTTTGACACAGTTGATCACAATGTTCTTTTAGAAAGACTTGAACATGTTGTAGGGATCAAAGGAACAGCGTTAGGCTGGTTTAAATCCTACCTGTCTGACAGATTTCATTTTGTAAATGTACATGACAAATCTTCTTCATACTCCAGGGTTACTTGCGGAGTACCACAGGGTTCAATGCTTGGACCAATTCTTTTTACTATATATATGCTCCCAATTGGTAAAATCATTAGACAGCATGGGATAAACTTCCACTGTTATGCTGACGATACTCAGTTATATTTATCCATTAATCCTGATTAACCTAATCGGTTGGGTAGATTACAGGCTTGTCTTGAGGACATAAAACATTGGATGACTCTTAACTTCTTGCTTTTAAATCAAGACAAGACGGAAGTTCTCATCTTTGGACCAGAAATCCAGAAAAGGAAATTGCTTAGTCAATCACCTGACCTGAATGGCATTACATTAATCTCCGAGAACAAAGTAAGGAACCTTGGTGTTATCTTTGACCAGGACATGTCATTCAAATCCCAGGTTAAACAGGTTTGTAGGATTTCCTTCTTCCACCTTCGGAATATTGCTAAGATTAGAAGCATCCTTTCCAGGAGTGATGCTGAAAAACTAGTTTAGGCATTTATTTCATCAAGACTGGATTACTGTAATTCATTACTCTCAGGAAGTCCACAGAATGTAGTTAAAAGTCTTCAGCTTGTCCAAAATGCTTCAGCTAGAGTTCTGATGAGAATTAAAAAGAGATCATATCTCTCTTGTCTTAGCTTCCCTACATTGGCTACCTGTTAAATTCAGAATACAGAAGTAGGAGATGCTACCATCACTCAGTGGTCCCGAACACATATCTAGAGCTGCTGCTGCATCTCTGAAGGAGAACAGGGTGAAGGTGAGTGAATGGATAAGTCTCCTGATCTGAACCCAACCCAACACCTGTAGGAATTCTGAAGCAGCAAGACGGAAGAGACAGAAGAGACAGACTGAAACACAGACCTTCTGCAGCAAAGCGAAGTCCAGACCTTTCACCAAGTGAGTGTGCTCCATGTCACCTCCCAAGAACTTGGACTCCTGGATGAGCTGTCGACGTTTCTCTGCGGCAGACTTGTCTCTGTGTGTTTGAGTGTGTGTGTGTGTGTGTGTGTGTGTGTGTGTGTGGGGGGGGGGGAAGAGACAAACACACTAAGTTTTGACAGTTTTGATGTCTGACCCATTTGTCCAGTTCCAGCAGAACTTACGCCTCAGCTGTGGGCCCAACGGCCCGGTAGTTGGCCGTGGTGCTGATGAGCTCCGTCTCTTCATAGTCCTTGTTAACACCGTCTCGTCGCTCTCTCGCCCGGTCCCGGTACTTCTCTGCCAGCTCTCGCTCTCTCTCCATCTCTTGCTGACGTAGCTTAGCGTAATAGCTGTAGGAAACAGCGGGACAGGTCAGTACCGGGCCAATAGTGAGTAATCGTGACGTTCTGAGCAGCTTCCTCCAGAAGCCGTTCGAGAACTAAAGCTGTCTGCTGAAGAGTAGGAGCACCCACCTCTTCTTCTTCCTCCTTCGAGCTGCAGGGTCCTCATCCTCATTGTAGTCTCTTGGCATTCTGGAACAAGCAGACCTAGCTTAACCTCTGCCAACACAAACCAACCCTTTCTCTACCCTCACTCACTCATGGTGTCTGGATTTTGTGGGCGGAGCAGAGGAAGGAGTCGCACGTGGGGTCATCAGCAGCTTCCTGAAGTCATCATTGGTCAGCTTGGCCCTGGCGGGGGGGACAACAGGTAATCCGCGTAAATAAATGACTACAGCGCTGTGTGATGCGTGTACTTGTGTGTGCGTGTCACTCACTGACTGGCCCCTCGGTGGTCATCCAGCTCATGGTCATCAGGAGCCAGAGGGTTGGAGTAGCTCTCAGCTGTGAGACACAGACACAAGGTGTCAGACATGGTTTCAGAGGTCCTGACTGGTGGTTACCATGGAGACACCGATGCCTGACTGACTGGTCAAGGTGGGTTCAATAAACTTTGTTGATCCCTGGATCAAGACCTGATCCTAACCCTCGCGTCCATGTCAGAATAAAAGAAATTCATTCGTTAAGTTCTAGAGGATGTGGAGTGGACGCAGCTGGGAACGTGACATCCAAGAACCATTAGGGTTCAGGTCAGGGCACGGTACCCGCACCGGTACCCACAACGGAGCCCACACCTCCTTTAAATGTAATTTAATGACTTATATTTTATAAAAACTAGGCATGGATGGTGAGTGTGAACGAGGGCTGCAACAACCGATTATTTGGATAATCGATGAATCGGATGGGGTCTCGACACGATTAATCGATTAATCGGATTACATGGGGACATTTTTAAAAACTGCTAGGGAAACGTTATTTCTCTCCTTCCTTCACTTTATTTAACACAACATTATTAGAAAACAGTTCAATAGCAGAAAAACAACATGCCATCACCTAAACTGTCTTATCAGTTTTGGCCCCTGAGCTATGGAAGGGTCTTCCACTCGAGGTCCAACGAGCTCCCCTGCTGCCGGTTGAGTCGGATGAAGACTCACCTTTATACAGCGGCGTTCCCTCAGCACGTGAGCTAGCTATATTTTAGCTCATTTTAATCCAGTTTTATTTCACTTATTTTATCTTGCTTTTTATTATCGTTCGTTGCTCTGATCTCCTGCTTTTATCTGTTCTTAATGGTTTTTACGTCTATTTTTGTTGAACGCTGAATGGGTCAGCGATGTTTTTAATGCGATGTACAGCACTTTGGTTTGCCTTCTGGCAGTTGGAAGGTGCTATGTAAACAAAGTTGATGATGATGATTTCCTAAAATGCAGACGTAGAGCCAAGTCAGAGCCTTAGATGTCTCATCACCACGCCTGGGTTTTAGCTTCTACATCAGGTGAAATACAAACAGCAGGGTGGCACTTCTGGGTTAACAACAGCAATCTAAACCTACGTTTGATAGACCTATTCAGAAAATCACCATATTTATTTGTAAAAGCACATTTAAAAACAGCGTGTCAGCAAACCCAAGTGCTGTACATTAAATTGCACAAAATTGTGGACATGAAATCAACTACCAGGCTTCTCTTCTCCGGAGGTTTACCATATGCAACGACAAAGTAGGAAGCGTGTGTCCCCCTCTTGGTTTTCACAGCAAAAGGAAGGTAACGCACAGATAGTTCGTGGTGGTTTTCAAGTTAAGATTTTTCAGCCTGGGCTCCTCATCTCCGGGAGGCGGTGAAAGCTGCACCAACGCTCCCAGTCACACGGGCTTACTCCAAGGTGCGTGGTATAAACTCAGTTTTATGTTCTCTGGTTGCTTGTAGTCGTGAACATCTTCCAAGCCATGCAAGTACATTTTTGGGGGTAAAACATTTTTTTTAGGGATGCACCGATGGATCGGCATTTGATCGTAATCGGCCGATAGCGCCCCTATCGGATTTGATCGGAGTTTTCAAAATAGATCAAAGCAGACCGATCAGGTAGGGTTGTCACGGTAACCAGTGTAGCGGTAAACCCCAGTAAAAAAAAAAAAAGTTGACAATAATAACCGTCTTGTTTTTTAAAAAACTATATTATCTCGGTGGATTACCGTGGCTGCGGTGTAGGCGCGGTGACCCTTACCAGCCACCGTATCATCTGCTGAAGTTGCCGGCGGCACATGCGCACTTTGTTGTTTACAACTAAAACTTTCTTGAAGCTAAAGCTGAAATAATGACCAAAGGAGGAGACGGCAGCGCTCAGGACATTTATTATCCCTCAAAGAAGACAAAGTGGGAAGTACGGGCATTTTTTGGGATATTTGAAGAATGCCGAGGGACAGCTGATAGAAGACGGCTATCCTGTTTGCAGCACGTGCAGAAAAAGTGTCTGTGAAAGGCAGCAACACTTCAAATCTCATGACACATCTGCGTGACCATCACCCACAACTCTACAGTCAACGCAAGGCAAGCTAACGTTAGCGTTTTAGCTAAAATGCGTGATCCGAGGATTTGGGTTGAGGGAGAATGCAACGAGTCGCTATATAAAGCAGCCGCAGCGCCGCTACCTGCATATAAACCGTGTCGCGGACACCCCCATGTTGAAATGACGCTATGCATTACGGGGCTCCCAGGGGCAGATAAGAGTTGGTCTCTCTCTGAGAATAATTATTAATTTAACAACGATTACTGCCTGATGACATTTTCCCACATCTGCAAAGCTCACTGGAAGGACACAAACCGAGGACAATATTTTCCTGATATAGGGTTTATTACTCAAGTAAGGGTAAAAAAGTATCTGATTAGAAGGCTACTTGAGTACTGAGTATCATCTGATCTAATATTTTTAAAATGATGACATCAAACAGACATAAAATAAGAAGTTATGGGCAAATATTGGTATTTTAAAGACTAAAGGGAAAAAATGTAAACAAATAAACAACATAATTACAAAATAACACATTTTAGGCTAAATTTAGACACAAATTGAGGACAATATTTCCTGACATACAGGGTTTATTTAATTGTGTGAAAATGTAGCACGTTTAAAAAAATTACTGCGATAATACCGAAAACCGTGGTAATTTTGGTCACAATAACCGTGAGGTTACATTTTCACACCGTGACAACCCTAATACAGACCATTTTAGATTAGGTTACATTTCCTTTATTCCCAGATTATATAGTTTGTAGCACTCATTATAATGTTGTAGAAAATTTCTGGCCAATCCACGTGATCGGTATCGGTGATCGGCAGCAAAAAACCTGATCGGTGCATCCCTAATTTTTTTCAATCGTTTTCAAATGTTCACTACTAACCACTACTAGCAACAAAACCTCACCATGCAAACAAATTGGTATGCGCTACTTCCGGTATCTCACCGGATGTTGCTTACATCACCGTTTCTCCTTAAGGGTGGATAAACTAGCCTTTAGCCGTGGCACTGTCCCCGCGCCATATCTACACCGGTGCTGATTAAACCAAAGTGCCCCTCGGTAGACCGGAAGCTGGATCGCTAATATAAGCCAACAGAGCCTCGTATCGCCTAAATAAAACATTACACGTTGCATTAATATAATTCGCTATAAGCTATGCTTTTGTATTAATCTACTACGTCTATGTGTTTTCTTAATAATGGTTGTAAGACTCACGTTCGGGCATCTTGGCGGACAGCAGTCGGTGCGGAGATCAAGAAGCTACAGCCTTTGTTGGTCTACCTCTCTGCTGAGTACGACGCTTATATCTATGGCGCTGGCTCTTTTTTTCTGAGGAGTTTCTGAGCGCTGACGTCACTTCCTGTATTCACGTCAGACCATAGATACGTACATAAACACTAGCGCTGTTTAAACGTTTTTATATAAACTCTTCTGATTTTTCCCGCTGGTGCAAATCGACCACAGTATTCCGTAGTATTCATAACGCTGCAAAGCAGCAAGAGGTAGGAAACTGCGCCAGAATGACTAAAAACAGCGCACATTTCTGCTGATTCACACAGACGATGGAAGGAAGCAAAACAGGGTTTTCTTTAGTGATGCCACACAGTGGTGTAGTCTACGTGATACGCTGCCTTTGATCTGCTCAGAAGTAACTGATGAGGTGAAAAAGTAAGAATCCAGGCAGCAGATTTTCTGGAGAGTTTAGAGGAGATGCAGGAAGATGAGAGACAGACAGGACAGGAAAATAGTTAAATAAAAACAAGAAAACAAAACAAAGTGTTGAAAAGTAAAATGTAGGCAGATTTATCTCCACTACACGTTTTTACCTGTATAAAACAATAAGTTATACGCATGTAATAATTATACATCTGATACAGCTCAGATCACCTTCAAGACTCAGTCACACACCCAGGGCCGTTTCAAGACATTTTGGGGGCCAAGGCAAAATGCCCCCCCCCCCCCCCATAACTGGGCTCCCCAGAAGCCTCTGTGTAATTCCTACCCTCTCCAGCAGTGTTAGTTATACAGTGTTTATGAAAGCCCCTCAGACATTACTGACATGTTCTAATATTATCAGATGAAAAACTAAATTATCAGACATGCTGTCTCATCTGCTGCTTTTCTAAACCTGCTAAAAGTAACACAACTATTTGAAAGCCACTATTTGTGGATTCTCTGAAAGTTTCCAGTGTGACAACTTATTTTTTCATTGATCCTATCGTCTAATCTCACAGCTGAAACAAGCATCCTTAATAATCTGTGCACAGGAAGCTTACCGATGGTGTAGTAAAACAAAATGTATAGTAATTTATTATTAATAAAACATTGTTGCAGCACTAAAGCAGAAAAATTAGATTTTGCAATAAATATGCAAAACATATGAATTGTTTTAGAGCCCTTTTATTGGCAGAATCTGATATTAATTTAGTTCTTACAAAAAAATGGGTCCCAACGTAATATTTGTGGCGTTGCCATAGTGTGACGTCATAGGCACAGATCCCCTGTCCTCTTGTTTGGAAATGGAAATATGGTCACCCTATATTAAACAAACTGTCCACCCGGGCTTTTGCGCTGCACAGAGACGCTTCGCTGCCTATGACTCTGAACGTCAGTTGAGAGTCAGTCTCATGCAGACTGACCAATGAAGAGAGGGCCTCAAGTTAAGACCCTCTCCTCATTGGTCAGTCCACACGAGGTGGGTCAAAGGTTACCCTGAGAGGGTTACGTGACATCAGGTATTCAAGTATTGAGTATATTTACTGCATATTACAGTAAAATATTCTGTATGTGACCACATTATGGTGATCCTTGGGTCGTGATGATGGGGCCCTTGAATATTATTGCCCAGGGTACAACAAAGTGTTAATCTGGCCCTGCCTACCGGGCATTCATTAGTAGCTGAGTGAGAGAGGCTGAGAGGGAGAGAAACTCAGAGAAGCTTTAGAGCTTTTTTACTGCTGGAGAAAAAACGTAGCAAGTCATCATCTTCCTAAATGCAGTTATTCTCTTCTGAATCAGCACTTAGAAATACTTAAATGCAACAAAGGGAAATATCCTTTTATTCAGCCTGTTCATGCGACTTGGATCAACAAATAAGTCTGAACAGTGTTAAAGGTTGTTCATCTAAAAATAAACCTTGAAGAGTTTGAAGATTTTTTTGTTTTAATAAGTTCATCTTAAAACATCTTTCTCAAGTAAAATAAAGTTTCCTCTGTGAGGTCAGATAGGCCCATCTGTGCTGTTTAAAAACAGAAATGAACAAATGAATCATATTTGTCCACCCAAATACTTGATAAATATCACAAAAACAGGAAGGACAGAAACACCGTCAAGGTAAAGTAAGAAATTTTATTTTTAAAATAAGCGGCTGTTTGTGATGAATCATGAGTTAACTATGGACATGATTTATATCATTATTAAATAGCCTATGTGGCCTATAGGCTATGCGACTGAGATTTAATATGAAAAATTAGACAAACCTATTTTCTAATTAGGTATTTGCTTTATGTTGATATATAGTTCATAAACATTTACGAGCCAAGAGGAACATCAGCTGCTGATGGTATGATTTGAAGAAAAAAGTTCATTATACTAACCTCCTCCCTTCATATTCAGAATTTTCTAGTTGTGTATAAAATGTGTATATTGTGCCTCTCTAGTTCTTAATAAAGGTTAAATAGTTTTGAATTTGGTCATGTCACATGCCAGTGATTGTGTTGTTTTTTCTGTGTGTGTGTGTGTGTGGGGGGGGGGGGGGGGCACCACGAAGACTTTGTGCTTAGGGCACCAAAATAGCTAGCAACGGCCCTGGGAGTGGGCCTCGTTTAAGATGCAATCATCAGGCTCCGATGAGAACAGAGTCACAGCACTGTCGTCACTCCGGAACAAGATTCAGCGGCATGAGAATTCCATGAAAAAGCTCAGAAACTTACACAAAAGTGTGGACAGGATTTGCTTGTAAACTTGGTGAGAGCTGCATCAGACAGTGTGCTGGCCGAGACGGATGCTGTGCTCAGGACAGCGTATTACACTGCAAAGATAAATACACCTTTTACTGACATGACGATCTCGTTGAACTTCAGGAGAGAAATGGTGTTTACCTGGGCACTAGTCTACACTCCAGGTATAGTTGCACTAAAATTGTGGAACATGTTGCTAAAGAAATGCAGCCAAAAACAGTGAACAGCATTGTGACTTCCTCAAGCAAACTATCCGTTCTCACTGATGAGGCTACATCTGCCAGTCACAAGTCAGCTGTGATTGTCAGTGTCAAAGCCTCAATTGATGGGAGAAACTCCTGAATTTGTATTCCTGGAGCTGGTTGAGTTAGAGAGCCAAACAGCAGGAAGTATAGAGAAAGCTTTACTAGCTTGTTTGGACACTGCAGGGTTCAGTGGAGGGTGGCTGCAAGAAAACTAGATTGCATTTGTTTCTGAGGGAGCTGGTGTTATGTTGGGCAGGAACTCAGGTGTGGCAACCAGGCTGACCTCTTCACATGGCACTGTATGAACCATCGACTGGAGCTTGCTGTATCAGCTGCAGTAGATGAGGAGGTCGCATCAGTAAATCATTTTAAAGCATTCATGGACGAGATTCATAATCTGTACAGCCAGTCCAGTAAAAACTCCAGAGAACTTCTGGAAGCTGCACAAGAAGTTGGCTCACACGTTCAACAAATTGGCAGATTTTTGAACACACGATGGGTTGCAAGCGGCTTTCGCACTGTAAAAGCAGTCTGGAGGTCCTATGGAGCGCTCAACAAACACTTAGAAAATGCTGCTGTGGACCAAACTAGGAGCGCAAAAGAGAGAAAGCATAGAATTTCTTTCTGACCTAGGACTAATGTATGATGCACTTTCTGAACTGTCAAACCTGTCCCAGCAGCTCCAAGCACAGAGCCCTGCACGGGCCTAAAATCTGAGCCCGTGTCCGGCCCGGCCCGAGAGCCTAGGGCTTCAGTGCAGGGCTCCACAGTCTATCACGCTTTTAAAAGCAGAATAACTACTAAAACGCACCATTCCTAATCTGAGGTCCTTTAAAGACTCTCCAGGGGAAAAGTCAGTGGAAGCCAGTGAAGCAAAGGCTTCAGCACACTTTGGATCTGTTCCCTTGGAGTCAAATCCAAAATTAAAACCGACAGTTGCAAATCAGTTTCTGCAAAGCTTGATCAGTAATATGAAGAAGCGACTCTCATTTCAAGGGGAAATCCTACGTGATCTGAGCATTCTCGATAAAAGCAGTTGGCCATCTAAACCTAGTATCAGACATGGTGAGACAGAAGTAGAGAGACTTTGTAAGAGATGTCATCCGTGTGAAAACCAGGCTGTTAATGGCATGAGAGGACCAAAGCAGGGAGCCAGAAAACCTTCAACCACTGATCATTTGCATGAAAACTATTCCATGTATACAGCTGAATGTGAAATATGCTTTAACCTAATGAACAATGTTTGCACTGATAAAATGTCTTCTCTGTTACTGTCAAACGTAAGTAATCTCATGATGATGTATATAAACGGGCCTCCTGTTAATCTTTTTGAGCCTGGGAAGTGTGTGATAACATGGTTAATAAAACACCCCTCTGTAACACAGACTAGAAGACAGATGAAACGAAGGAGCTTGAGAACAAACATCTTACACGTACATTTGCTTCAATCTGCTTTGAATCATTTGTACTTCTGTACTTCTTAATATTTGAATGTGTTTTGCTTGTATGCAGTTACCTACTGTCCATGTCAGTACAAATTCAACAGCTCTGCAATGTCTGCTGTACAAATTGAATTTAAATACAAGCATTAGAGAATTTTTGCTAAGTTAAATATGCAAATAAATAAATACAATTCTCGATAAGTGCATGTGTGTGCTCTGTCTTCTCCATCCCCAGTGAGTCATGGCGGATGGCTGCTTATACTGGGCCAGGATCCTCTGGAGGTTTCTTCCAGTTAAAAGGGAGTTTTCCTCTCCACTGTCGCTGCATGCTTGCTTAGTATGAGGATTATTGTGAAGACTCTGACACTAGTCAGTGACTCGATGCAACCTGCTGGGTTCCTTATACAGGAAACTTGTTACTGATTGGATTAAATAACAGTTCTGAATTGGAATGTTTATTTGTGAAGCGCCTTGAGACGACGCTTGTGATTTGGCGCTATATAAACTGAATTGAATACATTGCACTAACCAGTTGTCTCTAAGCACAGTATACCCACTACAAAAATTCAGACACCACTGATGCCACACTATTAGTTCATGTAAGGGAAAGCACACCAGATCAGTTTATTCAGTAGACATGCTGGCAATTTATTTAGCCCACAGTGGATAGAAGAAAGTAAAAGGAGTAACATGCACCGACTCACTCTCAGCTCTCTGTCCTCTGGCATATGGACATTTCTGAGTGTTTGTTCAGGCAACAACAGATGGACTTAGAAAGATTCCTCTGGGTGCCAGCACGTAGAGGGATGGAGGGCAGCGAGTTGGCGGACCAGAGATCCTCCATCGTCGTTAAAACACGAATCCTAGAGGAACAACAAATTCAGCGGGATGCAGAAGAGAAGGGAAGACATCTTTTTCAAACCCAGTAATGAAAGAAAGAAAACAATCTTTTCTATAGCGCCTCTCAAGATAAAAGTCAGGAGACTTTTCACAAAAACAAAAAAGTTAAAATATAAAAAAGATTAAAAAATGTTTAAAATAAGCAAAAGTAGACAACTGTGTTTAAAAATGCAAAGAAAAAGAGAGAGTGAAGAGGAAAGAGGGACCAGTAAACCCTGGGGAAGGCAGAATAAGTAGAAAGTAGAAGAAGTAGGGAAATGCAACATTGTGAATATGAGAAGCACAGATCCAAAAATAATATCACGGCTAAGGCTGGGCCGTACTGGACTCAGCACACTACTGGGCCATTCCCATCTGTACCGGGCCGGGTAGCCCCAGTCGGCCCCGGTCTGGCCCGGTTGATTCCACACATCCTTGTCTTAAGCCCATGTGGGCTGATTCTACCCACCAATCAGAGGCTTGCTCTAATGGAAGGTGTGAATTTGCTGTCAGCAGTGGGTGTGTTGGCCCTGGTCGGCCTGAAGCAGACCCCCTCGAGAAGAGGGCTGAGAATGAGCCTTGGTTGGCCCGGAAAAATACCAGGCCACCCAGATATGTAAACAACCTACGCTACCCGGCCCGGGCCGACCCGGTACAGATGGGAATGGCCCATAATAAATGTAACCGGGAAACATCCAACAGGTTTTGTGGTTGTGGAACAGAAATGGAGACAGCTGAACTTGTCAGTTGCTATTATAGTAAACATACAGAGAGCCTAAACTAAACCAAAGACGAATTAAAAAGCAACGAAGGTGGATCTGTGAGGATGAAGAATCTGCTAAGTGGAGAAGAAAATAAATCTGAGTTAGTGACAGAATTCCTAAAACACAGCGGTCTGATTGAATTTAGTTTTCTCCTCTCCCACTTTAATACACTTTGACCCACACAGTAATGGTGGAAATGCAAATACAAGCTAAATGCCAAAACAACAAATAAACAACAGAAGAAGCCAATGGAGTGCGACATAGATATGATCAATATATACTTACACTCCCCTAAAGGATTATTAGGAACACCACACTAATACGGTGTTTGACCCCCTTTCACCTTCAGAACTGCCTTAATTCTACGTGGCGATGACTCAACAAGGTGCTGAAAGCATTCTTTAGGAATGTTCGCCCACATTGATTGGACAGTAAAGACGTGTGGGATGCACATCCAGGGCACGAAGCTGCCGTTCCACCACGTCCCAAAGATGCTGGAAGTAGCCATCAGAGGATGGGTACATGGTGGGTCATGAAGGGATGGACACGGTCAGAAACGGTAGCCCGTGGCATTTAAACCATGCCCAGTTGGCACTAAGAGGCCTAAAGTGTGCCAATAAAACATCCCCCGCACCATGACACCACCACCACCAGCCTGCACAGTGGTAACAAGGCATGATGGATCCATGTTCTCATTCTGTCTACGCCAAATTCTGACTCTACCATCTGAATGTCTCAACAGAAATGGAGACTCGTCAGACCAGGAAACATTTTTCCAGTCTTCAAATGTCCAGTTTAGGTGAGCTGGTGCAAGCTGTAGCCTCTTTTTCCTATTTGTAGTGGAGATGAGTGGTACCCGGTGGGGTCTTCTGCTGCTGTAGCCCATCCGCCTCAAGGTTGTGCGTGTTGAAGCTTCACAAATGCTTTGCTGCGTTCCTCGGTTGTAACGAGTGGTTATTTCAGTCAAAGTTGCTCTTCTGTCAGCTTGAATCAGTCGGCCCGTTCTCCTCTGACCTCTAGCATCAACAAGGCATTTTGGCCCACAGGACTGCCGCATACTGGAAGTTTTCCCCTTTGGTTCAGGGTGCGTCTCACTCTGTACAAGTCACCGACCCTGGGTCCAGCAAAACAGCCCCCAGATCATCCCACTTCCTCCTCCATGTTTGACAGTTGATGCCACACACCGTGGAACCATCCTTTCACCTACTCGATGGCGGACAAAGATCCTGCGTGACGAACCGAAGATTTTAAATTTGGATTCATCAGTCCATAATGCCTTCTTTAGTAATCCAATGGCGGTGTTTCACGGCCCAGGCAAGCCTCTTTCTCTTATTCTGACATCTTAGCGGTGGCTATAATTCAGAAATTAACATTATTTTTCAGTTTTGTACCTTTTTGTAAACCTCTGGCAGTTCACCACTTAACTTTGTACCATTTCAAGCTATTCATTGGACTTGAATGACTTAAAGTGCAATAAATAACTGGAAACACAGGGGCGTTGACCGGTAGTGTGTTTATATAGATAGATACACACATCAGTATCATTTTTGCTTTCTTCCTGTTCTACAGGATTTTTTAAGAGATGTTGCAAGGTTCTTCTGAGGTAAAACCCACATAAACAGAACAGATACAATATGTGCACCCCAACAAATAAGACAATCCACACCCACACCACATCCGTCAGCCACAGGTTTATTGTTGTATATCACCACTGTGGCTTTCTGGATAAGGACATAATCATCATTTCACCCAGACCCACCCAGTGGCCCACCAAACCAGGCCTAACCAGTAGAACCAGGAGGCAGTCTAAATCTTTATTCGTATTAACACATTTACAAAACAAAGTCATGAATTCTCAGGTGAGTGGATCCAACCAGCACCTTTAAGGTTTGGACTCAGCCAAACTCTGCAGAGCCTTGGCGACCTGATCAGCGGACATGTTGTCCAATAAGACACTCGTCTCTTTGCCCAAACCTGAACAAACAAACAAACAGCCGGTCAACACCTGGAAACAAGGCAGGGAAAAGTCATCTTCCACTATGCCAAGCCACGAATCTCACCATATCGGACCCAGAGCCGGGCCTGGACTCCAGAACACTCCCGGATAAGTATAGGGAAGTCCAAGTTGGCCTTCTTCAGGGTCACGTAGTTCTGCTCCACAAAGTCCCTGAAACACAGAGGACACATCCACATTAGTTGTTTTCCCACTCAAGAGTTTTCCCAGGATGCTCTGCTGCTCAGAGGACCTGAACTCTGGCGTTCTACTGTTCGACCACTGGCTAGCATACGAAAGCGGCACGGCCCCCCACACGAACCCACCAGCTTACAGCAGAGCTTAGGTGTTCGCCTGGGCGCGCCAGCTGCCCTGTTCCTCAGTGTTGTGTTCACTGCTGTAAGGTAAGCAGCACTGACATAAAACAATATAAAATAAAACTCATAATAAAATGTTTCATGTACATGACATTATAGTAAAATATAAATGTAAAGACTTATATCTGAAAGACCCGATAGGGACTGTAAAATTAACCCGTTAACTCATTCACTGCCAGCCGTGTCCTGATCAGAAAGCGTCTGGCTGCCAGCGTTTTTGAGCATTTTTACTGTTTTTTTGAAGAGCCTCAGAATATTGCGCTCTATGAAGATGCCAACACCAAAATGACCAAAACAAAGAGTAGACTCACTTCTTCCATCAGGAAGAATCAGCGTGTTTCTAGCGTTATCCATTCTTTCATACTCCAAATTGTGAGATGCAACTTTTCCAGTTGGCGCCAGTGTTGCCAACTGTTTTAGACTGAAAGTAGCTGAAGTTCCCCCAAAAGTTGGAAAAAAGTCATTAGGAACAGCAACAAAGTTGCTGAGTTGGCAACACTGGTTGGCGCCTCGCTTTTCTTTCACAGCAGCGACCCAAAACGACCTCCTAATTCATGGATTTTCTGCTTCCTGATCACATGACGTGTGACATGTGTGGATGAAGATCAGCTTTAGAGCCGTGATGGTAATTCTCACGGTGCGGGAACTCGTTGCGACACACATCAGTAAAAAAAAGAAGCCATCAACGACTTTAGCGGCGAGCACGCGGTTGGATTTAAAATGACAACTTCTGTCGTCAAAGGCAGTAAACAAGTTAAGCGCCAAAGACCCAACGTTGCTTCTAATGAGCCACAGCTGCAAATATGATCCCTCATGAGGTTAGGACGTTACACTAGAAGATAGTGGAGATGTGTAACTTCAATCTGAGCAACACTTTTGGGTGTTTCTACTGAAATTTTGAGTTTTAGAGCCCCCCCACCACTCCACCGTCGAGGATCCCTACCACGTTGAGGAGACGAGCGAACACACAGGGTGAATATTATTATATATAACATATAAAGAAACTTTATAAACTGTTCATGCCAGGCCTTGCTTGGTTCCCCGCTAGGCCAAGTGTCCACCCCCACCCCTTAAGTTCACCTTAAGTTTACTTATTTTTTCTTAGTTTGTCTTTGCTTTTCAAGTCCAAAGAAATATGCTGAACTCTTTTCAATCCATCTAGCTCTTGATCGAACAATAATCAATAATATGCGTTTTTGTGCATAAGGATAGTATCGTGTCACTATAAATAGGTTGGGAATTTCTATGAGGCGTTCTGTCTAACCACGAATCTGGGGCTATATTATGGTCCCCTCCCAATATCACGTTCTCTGTGTTATACGTTACTTTCCATTCATTTATTCTTTGGCTTAGTTCTGAATAGAACTTTTCATTAATTTCTTGGTTGTTATATCCACACACACGTCTAAATATAACGTTTATCATTCCACTCCACTAACACCATTAACCAGTGGCCTCCAATGTCTCCTTTGTGATCAATTATGTTGCCTGAAAATCTATTGAATAAAATCATGACTCCTGCTGAGTGTGATGTTCCGTGTGAAAAGTAGGCATAATCCCCCCCCCCCCCCCCCATTGCGTTTTTCTAAATTTTTCAACAGTTGCAACAGAATGAGTCTCTTGTAAAAAGAAACATTGTGATTTTTGATCCTTACAAAATAAAATAATTGCTTTTCTCTTTGTACTGTTTTTCAAACCCCGACATTTAAGGATATAAAAGAAATTATGGTTGTTCTAAACGTGCTTAACTGTGTTTTTTCTTCTTAGCAGGAATGAACATGTTGTCCTTAATAACATCATTACAAAAATGTCAAATAAACGTAAGAACCGCAGCAAACAACTGAACTGAACTAACCCTAACCCTTTTCACCAACAGGATTTGTTTAAGCCTAACTGCTTACATGAAAAATCTGAGTGTAGCCTTACATACACTTAAACATATAATATTGTGTTATTCACTTTTGCTCAGTATAAGCAAAGGAGACCTATGTTTTTGATTACTGAACTATACTTAGAGGTCAACTCTGCGTCCATCGATGAGTGCATAACCTTCTCTTAAGGAGGCTTTCTTCCCATTTCTCCTGGCTTCTTGCACCTTGGGCCAAAGCTTAGCACGAGCCTCACAATCCTCCTTTGAGAAGTCCTCCTTAAACGTGATGTTCATCTCACTGCACACTCTTGCCTCTCTGGATCTCCTCCAAACTTCATCACAAACAGTTCGCAAGGCAAACTGGATGATTATAGGTCCGGGCATCTTGTTGGTGGCGGCATCGTTTTTCTTCCCAAGCGATGGGCTGTGTCTACTGAGTCCTGTAGTTTTCCACCGACACCGGGATTACTCTAGTGAGGATGCCGACACAGTTCCTCTCGTATCCTCTTTGTCTTTCTCAGGGAGGCCCATCAGTCGAAGATCCCATCTTCTCTTGTACCGGGCTTGCTCCGAGCACAGCTGCTCAGTGACGCGTTTTCTTTTTTCACCAGCACCATTTCTTCCTTCATTTAGCACATTTCTTCTTTAGTCTCTCTCACTGCTTGTGTGTTAGCTTCTATTCTACTTTCAAATGCTTTCAGTCTCTCATCTTGTTCATCAAATCTCTTTATCAGTAGTTGAATCGCATTTAGAATGTTTTCGTTGGTAATCTCACCTTGCTCGCTCGACTCATCTTGCTTCTTTTGTTTCAGCTTTTTGTGGTTTGGGCAGGGGGTGGTGAGTGAATATGAAGCAATTTCCTGTTTTCTTCCTCCATTGCCTCTATTTCTTCAATTTCTTCTTCTTCACATGCTTCTTGCAAGGCCGTTAGGCTGTAGTCGTGGTCTGTTATCTTTTGAGCTTTAGCCGTTATGCTACCTTTAGCCACCTTGCTCATGTTGTCAAAGGGAAAAAGAAAAAACCAAAGAGTAACGGTGGTCAGCCTTGAGAAAAATAACGTTCCGTGGGGCTCAGTGGTTGTTTATGCAGTTCTTTTGATCTTCTTTTGCTTTTTTTAAGGTTTAAACTCAAGGACAATTCCATTTTAAATTCCAGAGCCTGCAAAAGTGCTACCGCTCACTCCGCCATCTTAACTCCTCCCGAGGAAGAAGAACATCCATGAATTAGGAGTATATATGTCGATGATTAGGAGGTTGTTTTGGGACGCTGCTGTGAAAAAAGCGAAGCGCGAACCGGAAAAGCTTCTGCAGCTCACAATTCGGATTATAAAGGAATGGATAGTGCTAGAAACACGCTGACTGCCCTTGATGTTGGAAGTGAGTCTACTCTTGATAGTTCTGGCATTGGCATCATCATTAGAGCACAATATTCTGACTCTTCAAAAAACAGTAAAAACACTCAAAAACACTGGCAGTCAGATGCTTTCTGATCAGGAAACGGCTGGCAGTGAATAACTGAGACTCAGGCCTTTCCCCGGAGCTAGCGCTGAAGTCACGTGGCTCTGATGCTCATTAATTATTCAGAATTTTAACATTTAATTCCACTTAAACCCCTCAGAATCGTCATAAATGTAAACTAGATCTATTAAACCTAGAATGGGGTTTTGAACCAGGCTGTAAACAGTGAGGATTTGCTCACTTCTGCAGCCAGACCCTAGCGGATGAGGGTGGAACTGCAACTTTAGCTCCTTCCCTATGGGGACGTGCATCCACCGATGACGCTGTTTGTTTCCAGGAAATAGTCGGAGCCTTCGCTGACCGGCCCACATTGGTTCTACCCATCGGTTCTACCTGCTTAAATAAAACTTCCAGGAGTTCCGGTTAAAACTTCTGTTACCATTTCTAAGGGTTGCATGTTTAACATTTCCCCGCTGAAACATGCTGGCTAATAAACTACAACACTCTCGTTTCACAACAGCCTTTAGTCGCAGCTAGCCATTAGCCCGCTCCGTTTCCCGGTATAAATGGACAAATCTTCGCTTTGTCCCCCTACGAGCGCCGCTCACCTGACTCCCTTGCTGGCCGCGGAGGTCTGGCAGAGGTGGAGGCGGACCTCTCTGAGGTTTCTACCCAAACTAGAACCCAGAGACCTGACCACGGACGCCGCCATTTTATCTTCCTCAGTCAAGGACGGTCGTGGGTTGTACCACGCATAGACATGAATACGTAGACGCCCCACTGGCGCTGGAGGGCATAACAGCCTCTCCGCCATATTGGATGGGTCTTTACACTCTCCAAACCCAACTTTCAAAGCACGTCTTTTTATATTCTTTCTGTGCTTTTCTTCCAGGGGCGTTACGGCTGGTTTCTGCTTCTTGTCTTGCTGCTCTTAAGTGTCTTTGACTTGTTTCCTTCTCACACTCTTTCCTACGCTCTACTGTTCTTGAGGTGGCGTCCGGGTGCTCCTGTGTATGTTTTACTGCAGAACTGACCTGGGATTTCATAAATGACTCCACACTTGTGTCCTGCTGATACCTTGTCCTTTGGGTGTACTGGTCTGTTTCTAACTGTTGCGTGTGTTTATGTTGTTGCTATTATTTTTCTGTAATGCCTTTGATGTAAGGTAGTTATCACTGGTTTTGGTTCTTGTTTTTTTTTGTTTTTGTTGTTCTTTTCTTTCTGTTGTTGTTTGTTGTTTACCTTTGTTTATTGCCCATGCTAGGTATCCACATGTCTTTAACCCTTTGATGCATGATGAAATATTCAACCATGATTTTTTTTAACAATTTTTTTCATTCATCTTTAGCTGTGAATGAAACAAATTTCATATTTACATATTTTTTGTAACATTTAATTTACAAATGATTTATTACATGTCCACCTCAGTGGACAGCGTGCATTCTGAACATGAAATATGTTGGCTTGACTTACTGAAGTCCAAATGGATGGGCTCAAATGCAATAAAGTCTTCAACAGCTGTGCTTAACAGTAAAAATAAATAAATAACAATTTTGAGTACCTGTCCACTGTAGTGACCATCATGCACCAAAGGGTTAAAGCGTTTTGTATATGTTGGTCCTCTGGTTTACGGTCTTGTTCTTCTGTTATCATGTTTGCTCGGTGGTCTAACGTTCTGATCACTGATATTTTATGTGCAGTACGTGTTCTGGTGTCCATAATAAATGTTGGTCTGTGCGTGTTGGTTTCCAGCACGGGCAGCAGCTGCACAAAAACGTGCGTAGTTGCTCACTCTGCACAGCGCCGTGCACAGGCGCCACCGGTCCCTCCGACCACCACCAGCAGGCAAGGTAGGTTAAGTGTCTTGCCCAAGGACACAACGACAGCATTCTCTGATCTGAGCTGGGATCAAACCTGACAACCTTCATATTACTGAACAACTGGCTTTACCTCCTGAGCTGCTGCTGTACTTCAGAGAGCTGAATGTCTGCACTCGCAAGGAAGAGTGGACCAGAGCCAGAACCACGTGAGAGGCTGATGAGGTCAGACTGAGGGTTCCTCTAAAACTGGACTGCTGGTCAGTAAGCACCTGAAGGATTCACATGTGATCCATAAAAGCACACACTGGAAACTGGATGAGACTTTGCTTTATTCAGAAACAGAGTTAGTCAGTACAAAATCATGAATGTGAAAACAAGAACGGGCCCGGTGGTTTCAGAAGACCAGGCTGGTCTTTCCTTCAGCAGGAACAAATAGTTCCTCAGTCCCTTAGTGGGTTTGTTAGGAGTAGCAGAGAGTGAGGAGATACAGGAGACCATCCAGGTCAGTCCGACTGGCTCTGCTTCTCTCTCAGGAGCTGTTGAATCCGTTTGTTATGTGTCTGCTCGTGGAACGGCGGCCTTCGGGGCACAAAGTAGTTCTGCTGTTGTTTAGTGGACCTACTGTTCACTCCCACGATCTGGTACTGGACCTCCCCCACTGAGGAGGGGTGCTTCTTTGGGGGCGGGGCCAAAGTTGATAAAGACTCTGCTGTGTTATCAGGTGATGATGTAACGGTGTCTGGGATGGCAGATGTTCTTATTGTTGCTGGTGTTTGGTTCCCAGTTGCCATGGAAACAGCAACAAGGGGCATTCCGGAAGCCGACTTCTTAAACAAATGAGGTGGAGCCGTTTTTCTGGGTGGTGTTGTGGTGGGGGTGGGGGTGGGGGGGAGTGATGATGGATCCAGATATGATAAAAACTCGCCGTAGTCCTGGTATTCCACATAAACAAGGTCAGTGCTGCTCCTATCAGTGGGGGCGGGGGTGACGGTTGGGGGAAGGCTGATGATGACATCATTGATGGCATATCTGCTGTCCAATGAGCTGGAGCTAAAAACAAACAAACAAAAAGAGTGAAACTCTGGGGACTTCCTGTTAGAAGACAGGGGTCATTAAGTCCACGGTGGACAAGGTCCCAGCAGAAGAAGATGGGACCTCACCAGGGTGTCTTCCTTCTCATTTGTCAGTAAAAAAATTTAGTTTTCTCATCGTTTATGATTTCTTCTCTATCATGTTTTTATTTTTATTCTGTGTTCTTGTGATGTTTATCATGACAGGCTCTGAGTAAATAATAATTTCTTCAGTTCGGATGCGGCTTCAAATGTTCTGACGGAGGTTCCTACAGCAGACGCAGCGCTGAACGAACACAGAAACGTTCATCTAACTCTGAGTAATCTTCTTGGGTGTGTTCTTGCTGTGTCGTATTTCTAACGCCAAGCTGTAGTTCTTTCTTACAACACAGAACAGTTTTGTTACCTGTTTTCCCGCTACGTTTCGTCAGCGGCCGCAGACGAAACGTAGCGGGAACACAGGTAACAAAACTGTTCTGTGTTGTAAGAAAGAACTACAGCATGGAGTCTGAGTAATCTTAGTAAAGGATGGGAACATGGACCCGGGGAGGGGGGGGGGGGGGGTGTCAGATGTCACCAACATGGCTGCTGCCTCTGTCTTTCCATAGTGAGTCGTACCTGCTGGGGTCCGTCCCGGGAGCCCTGACGTCTGGACGGCTGACGTTGCTGAAGTCGTCCGAGCTGCTGAAGTTTCTCTCGCTGCAGGACTTGCAGCACATCTGTCTGTAGCCGGCGACGGAGCAGTATGGACTCAACACCTCCATCCGACAGAACACAGAGCGGTCACCTCGGCAACGCTGCTCTGCAGAAACAGAAGACCAGCTGATGATCTCTCTCAGCGTTTCCCGCGGCTGGCTGCAGAAGCGGCTCGTGGAGACAGGAAGAAGCAAACAGTGATCAGTTGTTGACTTTGTTTGGATATTTCAGCCAGCAGGTTTCCGTACTTGACAGCGTGTGTGAAGCTGGGAACTTTGAGTTGGACCTGGACAACCACAGGGTGATGGCATTCTTCTGGTCACCTGCAGGAGGAGACAAACCTTCAGCAACAGCCTCCTTAGAAACACAGCAATGTAGTTGATGCTTACCACTGCAGGGCGGAGCCTGGCAGACACGCATTCTAATTGGTTGAGGATCAGTGCAATTTCCAGTGGAACCCTCTGGATGTAAACACGCAACCTGACGCTCCTGAGTCCCGTTTCCACAGGAGGTAGAACACTGAACTCACAGAGGTGAAAGTCCGATCAGCAACAGATCTAAACGCCAACGTGAATCTGAGGCCCTGTCCTTACGTAGCCGGGGATCTGCCAAAACGTAGATATTTTTCTACGTTTTGGGCTGTCATCCACACGAAAACGGATCTTTTTAAAAACTCCGGCCAAAGTGAAGATCTGCGTTTTCTCCGTTTTGGGTGTCTGCATGTGGACAGACTAAACCGGAGTTTTAAGGTCCGCAACGTCACTTTCCGCGACAAAAAAATGCTGACATCACGTGTGCGACGTGTGTTTACACTAGCCGACAGCATGGATGCCCTCAGAGCTGCGCTCGCTTTATCAATTGTCCAAGCGCTTTCTGCTTGTTTGTTTTTGCAAGCGGAATTACTGCTGCTTGCGGAAGACCACAGACGAAGGACGAGGTTAAGAACGGGGGAAGTACTGCCGCCTTCAGGTCTGGCATGTCCTTAACAACGTATTTATCCGGGTACGTGTGGACAGAGTTTCTTTTTAAAACAAGGTGGTGTGGATGCAAGTTTTTGGAGGGGCAGATATTCGTTTTTAAAAAACCCGGCTACGTGTGGACTAGGCCTCAGACAGCAGGGAGACACTCACCGGGGCCCACGGCCCGGCCCTCCAGCCGGCAGGGCAGGGGAACCGGTTACATGTTTGTTTGGATTCTGGACGGTCTTCACCACAGAGCCTGCTGTTGACTGAGCGCTGCTGCTTTCCACTGCTGGACTCCTGCTGGCAGCTCACCCAGCGCCGCTGCCACCCAGTCTGACCACAGGAGGCGCTGCAGGCCTTCCAGCCTCCGCTCACCCAGCTGATAGCAGACAACAGTCAGATGTTTGGTTAAACCTGCTTCTTTCTGCTATGAGGAGCTGTAGCCTTGGTACTGGGTGGATGTGATGGTTGCAGACAGCTAAGCTAGTCACCAGCATGCCACACTGAGACTGTTACCATGTTGACCTGCAGAGAGTTACCAGGGTAAACTGGAGTATGTTACCGTGGAGACTTGCACATCTCAGCATTGCATTTGCGGCTGATTGGTCGTGGCTTGTTTATGTTGGAGCAGTACATGGTCTCAACCATTTTCCCATCAGCTTTCCTCCTGCAGCCAAACCTGGTGTACTGAGTCCCTGACAACAGAGATCATTATCACAGGTTTACCATGGTAACCCTGGCAACCAGCTGATGGACGCCACCTACCTCCTCCACAGGGTTTGGAACAGTGTGACCATTTCCTCAGAGCCCAGTCATACAAAACGGAATCCTCCTCCAGCAGGTTGGACTCCAGTGAGGACTGGACTCCATCCTGGATGATGTATTTGTAGGAGACAGTCACCTTGGAATCGCCATGGGAGCGGACCTAAGCAATAGCGAGCAGATCTAGTTTACCTCTGTCAGACACAAAGACCTGTTTGTCTGGTGAAACTGACTGACCATGAGTAGGGCATCGTACTTCAGTGGCCCGCTGGTCTGGACCGACTCCTGCTCACCAGTCCTGTTGTATTTCCAGACCACACCCTTTTCAATCACCACTCTGGATTCAGGTAGCTCGTCCTCATCATTGAGGAAGAAATGATTGGTCTCCTTGTTCTTTATGGCTGTAATATAAAATCTGGTCAGTTTTCTGTTTTTAAATCCAGGTTTCCAGGTTCATCTGCAGCCTTACCCAGGATGTGAGGAGTCCCTTTGAACTCTTGGATAAGAAGATGTCTGGCTCCTTTAGGGATCTCCAAGATCTTCAGGTATCCTGAAAATGTATTCTATCATCAGTCAATCAGGTGTCAAAAACATCCAATTGAAAACAAACCATGTGAGAAGCAGGTCCTAATGGCTGACTCAGATCCTCATCTGTGCCCCAGACAAGCTGGTTCCCAAAGTCAGAGACTCTCTTGGTCAGCTTGCTTCCCACACCAAACCTTCTGTCAGAAATCTTGGCGTGACCTTTGACCCAGCTCTGACCCTGGATTCTCATGTCAGTTCTCTTGTTCGCTCTTCCTTCTTCCATCTCAGGAACGTTGCTAAGCTGAGTCCCATTCTGTCCCGCTCTGAACTTGAGACAGTTCTCCACACCTTCATCTCCTCACACTTAGACTACTGTAACTCTCTTTTCACGTGTCTGAGCAGAACCTCCCTGAACCGTCTACAGGTGGTTCAGAACGCCTGTGCTCGGCTTCTGACCAAGTCCTCCAAACACACCCACATCACCCCGCTTCTCCTCCAGCTTCACAAGAGCCAGTCAACTTCAGGGTTCATTTCAAGATCCTGGTTCTGGTCTATAGGGCCTTACATGGACAAGCACCATCTTACATTGGTGATCTTCTTAGTCCCTACACCCCCAGCAGGTCCCTGAGGTCCAGTGATCAAAGCCTACTGGTTGTGCAATGCACCAGGTTAAAGGTCAAAGGTGACAGATCATCTGCTGCTGTGGCCCCCAGACTCTGGACCTCTCTCCCCCTGAGCCTGAGATCAGTGGACTCAGTGGTCTCCTTTAAAAAGCAGCTGAAGACTCACTTGTTCAAGCTGGCTTTTGTATGACCTTCTTCACCTCTCTCTCTTTATTCTGCTCTCCCCACCTATTCCACCTTCCTCAGGATCCACTGATTTCCCTCTTTCCTGTTCACTCTCTCTCTTTCTTAACATGTTTTTAAAATCACAATTGCCTATTTTTGCTCATTTTAAATATATTTTTAAACATTTTCTAAATGCTTTTTTATATTTTTACATTTTTTATTTTTGTGAAGCGCCTCGTGATTTTTATCTTGAGAGGCACTATAGAAATGATATTTTCTTCTTCTTCTTCTTGGAGAAAGTGCGTGGGGCTAGGGAGTATCCGAACGGGAGTCTGTTGTACTGATACTGAGTCCCGATGACTGAGAAGCGCAGGAATTTCCGGTGCTTTGGAACAATCGGAACGTGGAAGTATGCGTACCTCAGGTCTACGGACGTAAACCAATCGCCTGGGCGCACGCACTCCAACACCAGCTTGATCGTGAGCATGAGGAAATGCTTCACTGCTATGAAGGTGTTGAACAGAGACAGATCGAGGATCGGTCTGAGCCACCATTTTTCTTCGGAACTAGGAAATAACGGGAGTAGAAATCTATGTTCTTCTCCCCTGGCGGAACCTCGGAGATGGCCTCCTTCGACAGGAGTTCCCTCAACTCCGCCTTGAGGGTGGCAGCGTGAGAGGCTGACGTCAGTGTCGTCTCCACAATCCTTGAGAACGGGGGTGGGCGGGACTGAAACTGCAGCCTGTGGCCGCTGCGAATGATGTCCCGAATCCACTTGGTCATGTGGCACACGTGGCTCCAGTCGTGGGCGCGCTCCGACAGTGGGTGCGTGCATGGCGCCTGGGCCTGCAACACGTCCAAAATCCACGTCCGGACCCCTACCGCCGGCGCTTGACCCGAAGGAATATCGGGAGCGACCCATGGGGGGCCGGCTGGGAAAGGGCCGGCCGCGGAGTTGTGACTCAGTCGACGTCGGTTCCCTCATAAACGGACAAGGTCGTTTGTGCGGTGCCGGCGAGCGCGGAGAGCGTTGCCGCGCATCAGGAGCATGCGGAGGAAACCCAGTGCGCGAGCGCGGGAAACGCTCTGAAGCCCGCGCAGACGGGCGGTGATCATAGATGACAGCCCGTTTTGGTGGTTGTAATGAATGCGGCAAATCGTCATTGTGCAGATTTGCAGCAGTCACAGCGGGGAGAAGGCGCCAGTTGGAGGCAGAGCGCACGTTCGCTGAGCTCTGTGAGCCGCTGTGTAACGACGAAGTCCTTATCGCTGGTTGGCCCCTGCTCTCGTGTCGAGATTGCAGTGCGGAGGGGATTTGTAGCGACTCTACCCTAACCCGTAACAGGTGTGTGAGGAGAGAGGTTGTGCTTGGTGTGGGAAACATGAGTGAGAGAACAGCAGATGGTACGTTCGAACCGTCTGTACAAGGTTGCGACAGGATGTTGGTCTTTAAGTGATTTAAATGTTTTATTTCAAAACACAAATCGTCACAATCAAAAACACACACATTTCCCCCAAGAAGCCATTTCCTTGGGTTCTTCTTGCGACTGTCCTGAGGCTGCCAAGTCCAGGTAGGGGCAAGCGGTCTGGTTGGTCTGGGGCGCTGCGCCGGTGGCTGGCGAACCGGAGGTTCCGGGTCCGCCACCGGCGACTGACTCTGCGTTCATCTGGAGCTGGATCGGGAAGCGCGGCGTCTCTTTGCACCTCGGTGGTCTTTCCAGGTTCTGGCTGAGGTACGGTGCTGGTGACCGGGCCGGTGTTGGACCAGGCTGCGCACAGTGGCGGAGAGGTCAGCCGACCTCTGAGCCCTCTCGAAGGTGTCTCTGAAGTTGGACCCAAACAGCACGTCCAAACTGATTGGGCCCTTCAGCATCTCTTTGTGGAGCTGCTCCGGGATGGACGTAAGAGCTCCGTGCCACAGGAGCCGGTGGATGAGGGTCTGCCATGCGGAGATGCGAGCTGCACAGACCAGGTTGGCGGCACACAAGTTCAAAATGGCGTCTGCCGACTTGCAGATGAGGTCCTTGGGCTCCTCAGGCAGGTCACCCGTCTCCGCCGCCTTGGAGATGCCGTAGGCGAGTCGCGCCACGTTGTTTGAGGCCGCGCTGATCTGCGCAGCGCACTGGTGGGAACGGTCAGCAAACCGTGCCAGCTGCTGGTCGTTCCTGGAAGCGGGAACCGCTCGCCTGTTCATCATTTTAACCTGGGTTCTGAGCAGGGAAGCCAAGTCAGCCTCCAAGGGTGGGACCGTCGGGAAGCCATGCTCGGTGAGGTTCTCCAGCTTAGTGATAGACGTGTAGGAGGACACAGGAGCCCTGAGCTGGGTGGGCTCGGCCCTGGAGCCGTTCTAGTACTGCATGGCTGCCGGGAAATGCGGGAACACTGGGTCAGGGAAGCTAGTCGGTTTTGCGCCAAACCTGCCCGCCAAGTCGTCTGACTTAGCAGGGGCGGGAGCGGGAACCGTTAGTCCTTTGAAGCTCGCCGCTGCCGAGATGATGGCATGCCGCTCCTGGAGCAACGCTCGGATGGGAGGGAGCGGTGTGTGGGTGTCCTGGAGGTGTGGGTTCGGGTCCCGTTCGGGAGCCCGAAGGTCCGCAGCCTCCAAGGACAAGTGTGAGGATCCCGCGCAGCTAAGCTGCTCCGTGTCAGAGTACCTAGCTCGCGCAGGCCCAGCTGGTTCCAGACCGGTGTCAAAAAAGTCCATGGCTTCCTCGTGTGGGACGGTGTTGGGTGCTGCAAACCCGCCCTCAGAGCCCTCGGAGATGGCGGGGAAATAATCCACGCGCCGGAGTTTCTCGGCCGCCAGCAGAAGTGGCAGGCCACCTGGGGTGTAAGGGCAAGACCGGCGTGTCTAGGCCCGAGGCAGATGTCACATCTGGCATGGAGGTCGCCAGGCATAATGTCTGCCGCGTTGCAGGACTGGCACACAGATTGCTTCTCTCGTCATGGTTGTAGAGAGATAGTTGAAGATAGCTCAGTTGCAGTCAGGTCTAGTTGAAGAACTAAAAGGAGACGATCCTTGGTCCTCATACCTATTTATAGGACCAGGTCCCACCTGATAGGCGGGCATACATTAATGCTCTTCAGTCATTGGTCGTTGTCGGGGACTAACTCCCAATAGGCGAGGCTTAAAGGGCGGAGCCATACGAAATAGAACTACAAGATTCTCCAACAGAACCTGGTCCAAAGCACCAAATTACACCCTCAGGTGCAACTTCGTCTCACTATGCACCAAGTCCACCTTCTCTCTAGGTAAGAGACACGAACAGGCCAGATCATCCACTTAATTCATTTGAATCTCTCTGCTGAAGAAGAAGAGATGTTCTGGCCCAGCTAGTTCTGCTTGCTGACGGATTCACCCTGTCAGGTGTCAGCTAGTCAGCATTTTATGCTCACCTGGTTTCTTGGTGCTGCGGGTGAAGTTTCCCTTAATGATCCTGCAGGTGGAGTCGTCTCCTCCACAGACTCCACACCGGTCCTCCTGCTTGTCTGAGGCAATCTGACCATCACATCCCACATGCTACAAGGACACAGAGCAAAAATGCAAGCTCAAGTTACCATGGCAACAATGAAAAGATGAAAAACCTAGAGGGAAGAATCTATAGATGCTAACAGAAACAAAACCAAATATCATGAGAACCAGGGAGTTTCACAAGAACGGCTCTGGTTTGATTTAGTTTTTATTCCCTCATTAATTCAGAACCAACATTCCAGGGAACTAGAGTCAGGATGTGAGTCACGTTTGTAAAGACCTCACACTCTCCTCGGACGCACACACTGTGGGCATCTTCGTAAGAACACAGCGTCCCGTCATGCACCATTCTGTCCATGGACACTACGTCTCCCATTTCTTTAGACTGACAATAGAGGTGACAGCGCTCATCAGCTGGAAACATAAACAGGAAGACATCACTTAAGGTGGAATGTGTAAAGTGGAAATTTTAATGTGTAAAATGAAAACTAAATTCTTCTCAAACGAGGAAGGGTTAAAGGAGGAGTTAGATCCCTCCAAAAGTTTTCCTGCCTGAAATGTTTTTATTTAATTTTCTGTGGTAAGAAACACACATAAATCAGCAGAACATGCTAACTACACGTATGCATAAGGAGAACATGCTAACTTTACATATGGATGAGGAGAACATACTAACTCTATGTATGCATGAGGAGAAGATGCTAACTCCATGTATGCATGAGGCGAACATGCTAACTCCATGTATACATGAGGAGAACATGCTAACTCCATGTATACATGAGGAGAACATGCTAACTTTACATATGCATGAGAACATGCTAACTGCATGTATGCATGAGGAGAACATGCTAACTCCATGTTTCCATAAGGAGAACATGCTAACTTCATATATGCATGAGGAGAACATGCTAACTCCATGTATGCATGAGGAGAACATGCTAACTCCATGTATACATGAGGAGAACATGCTAACTTTACATATGCATGAGAACATGCTAACTACATGTATGCATGAGGAGAACATGCTAACTCCATGTTTCCATAAGGAGAACATACTAACTCCATGTATGCATGAGGAGAACACGCTAATTCCATGTATGCATGAGAACATGCTAACTCCATGTATGCATGAGGAGAACATGCTAACTCCATGTATGCATAAGGAGAACATGCTAACTCCATGTATGCATGAGGAGAACACGCTAATTCCATGTATGCATGAGAACATGCTAACTCCATGTATGCATAAGGAGAACATGCTAACTCCATGTATGCATAAGGAGAACATGCTAACTCCATGTATGCATAAGGAGAGCACGCTAATTCCATGTATGCATGAGGAGAACACGCTAATTCCATGTATGCATGAGAACATGCTAACTCCATGTATGCATGAGGAGAACATGCTAACTTTACAGAGAAAGGATCTGAACTTGCAAACTTTATGCTGCGAGGCAGCAGTGCTATCAATTGTACCAGCATGCAACCATGTTTGTAAACATTAATGCCAAATCTGTTTGTGTGTGTGTGTGTGTGTGTGTGTGTGTGTGTGTGCGCGCGTGTGTGTGTGTGTGTTTACCATCTGGATGTTGGTAGGGGAGCCAGTGATGTTTTATTCCCTTATGTTCAAAGAATGGATTCCATGCTTTACACTGATCCTCCCTGAAACCAACCAACCAGCCAACCAACACACACACACACACACACACACACACACACACACACACACACACACACACACACACACACACACACACACACACACACACACACACACACACACACACACACACACACACTTTGGTCTGACCTGGAGTCTGTCAGAGGAAATGTATAACGGATGGAGCATCGGGTAAACTGACCTGAAGTCTGTCAGGGGGGAACAGGGGTTCTGGTTGCACAGCTGGAACTCATAGCTGTTCCCGTAGCAGGTGCGCCCCCCATTGGCTGGACTGGGAACAGCAGCTGGTTAGGACATCTGATTGATGCATCTGAATTGTGACATCACAAATGATTGACAATTGACTCACGATGGATTATCACATTTTCTGGTCCGGAATCTGACCCCACCCCCACAGGTTCGGGAACAGCTGTCAAATGAACTCCAGGTCCCCCAGCTGCCATGTGTCCTCAGGAAGTCCAGGGTTAGCTTCATGCAGAACCCTCTGAAGCAGTGCTGCAATCACAGAATGTTACCCAGGACACCGAGGTTAGAAATGAAAAGTTTTGTTCTGTGCTGAAAACATCTTATTGATGGTAGAGGTTTGGGTGAAATCCACATCAGCAAGAAGATCACCAGGTTCTACTGGTGTCTCCAACATGCTGGCAGTCCCATATGCTGAGGAAGAACTAAACCATGTATGGTCTCACCTTCCCAGGTCCACACTTGGTCCCATCGAGTGGCGGGCTTTTCTTGGTCTTGCAGAAGAACGGGTTGCTGTAGTCACTGCACCAAAGCTGTTTGCATGGGTCTGGGCTCGTGTACTGGGGACACAGAAACAGGCACAATCTGGTTTATGGGTTAGGGTTACTGTTAGCTGGTTGATGGCAGGTCCTAGCCCCATTGCCCCATCGCCTGATCACTGCTGAGGAAAATCTGCGGTGCAAAAACTGGTCAAGGGAAGGGAACTGGTCCAACCAGTTCAGCATTTATGTGAATGTTGGCAAAGTATACAATTTTGTTTTTTTCTATCAATTAGTAGCTACTCTGCATTTCTATCACCGACAGGTCAGTGGTTGCCTCCCACTTCTCAGTTCCAAGCCAAACAAGTCAGGTCATGAATGCAGCACCAATGATTGACCGTCACTGATTGGCTAGGGGGTGGAGCCACTGGTTGATCCAGAGATTTCTGCCTGCTGCCTCGCTGCACACGACCCTTCCTGGGTTCAGAGTTTGACAAAAAGCCAGAGACTGAGGAAAATGTTTAACATCACCACCATTGTTGTGTTTTATGTCACATACAATCGCATACATAGACTGTAGTCCAGTCTACTTTTGATTGTTGTTTATTTTCTCCAGTAAGTTGATGAAATGACAACATTTTTGGCATTATGAAGCGTTACCTGACTGTTCCGAACCAAAATACGTCAATAGTGATATTTCATGTAGCCAGTTTTATTGTGTTAAAGGGTAACTAGGCTTTGGCTTACTTCTAGCACCCCCTAGTGTCAGTTTGTAGAACCAAAAGTAAAACGTATCTCCTTGCTGTGCGCTCGTCATTTTAACACCTTCATCTGACAGCTGACATGTCTCCCAACCTTTCTAAGTGTCTACAGGAGTGATTCACCACTAAATTAAACAAATCAGCTGTGTTCATGATCTAAACATGCAGGAACATGCTGGAAGCAGACAGCAGCGCCGGGTATGCCAGCTCCATTTTTCTAAGTCCCAAAAGAGAATATTCTGGCCACAGGGGGCGATAGGGGCTGGGTGGACTTTCATTAACCCTGTAAAGGTAATTGGCTCAAGAAAAGGATTTAAAATACCTGTACGTTAACCAGCTAGCCATAGTTTTGCCTGCAGCTAGCACGGAGGGTCTTTGTCGTGTTAAATAGGCCTATTTCTGCCTGATTCAGCTTTTTAAAATATTCAGCACAGTTTGAAATATTTATACTTAGAGTTTTGTAAATTCTTGGGTAATTTCTGAATTTGAAATGCTTTCTAAGGGCTGGAAAATACTTGTTTATTATGGCTGCCTAGCATAATTAGCTTCAGTTTGAAGCGTTGTTCGTACGTGTCCTCTGAAATGAATGCAACAAATTTGCAAGCTGCAATATGCGACTAACTAGTAGGTGAAGTTTACAAAACAAGCAAACATACTCTCCATACTCACTCCGTCTCTGGTTTAGAGGTCTTTCATATTACCTGTTTGTAACGCCCAGGCCCGGTGCCCCTGGACGCTACCGGTTACCGACGTGGGTTTACATGCGTTTAAAGAACTTGCAGCTTGAATGTTCTGTTAACATGTTTATTGCTATGTGAGTGTCCATGATTCAGTCACACAGGCACAACTTTACTCCTATATGTTTACTTGCCCCTAACTGTCTGTGCGTTCGTGATCACTTAGCCACGCAGTAGAAACTGCTAGCGCCCCGTGTCAGCAACACCTGGCGCTGACCTCTCCCAGGTTGAATAAGCGGGAGTGGCTACCACTCAGGCCCTGGGCTTAGGAAAAATACAAATCAGATAATACACAATCGGCTCCTACACTGCTACTGCCTTTGTTTTTGTCATGATCTCAACATTAACCTGTTACTGATCTCTTCTCTTGATGCCATGTTTGTTTTGGTTGTACCAGCTGCAGCTGCAGCATTCTGGACCAGTTGAAGCCAGTGAATTGATGACCAAAGCCACAGCGTAAGGAGATGCAGTAGTCCAGTCTACAGGAAATAAAACATTTTGGAGGTAAAGGGGCATCACCTGAGTGAGCAGCAGCAGCTCGTCCATAGGGGGCACTAGGGCGCCGCCCCACCAGTCTCACAGGAAGAAAAACAAGAAGAAGACGGGAATCACAAAATTTAAAAAACAACAAAAATATTAAACTAAATGATCTCTACACCATACAGACTATACATTTTGTGTATAAACTGCACTTAAGTTTAGTTGAAAAATGTTATTTACACACCCTTTGCGCATTTCCTGTCCCTTTGGGTGCAGCAATCTCTACCATAGACCTACGCTAACTGGCACATGCGTGTTGGATCCCCCTCCAGTAAAAAGAATAGGAGAGCCCTTTAGCGCAGAGTTTTGTGAGCGCAAAAACACAGGCAGAGGACCGGCAGGGCAGAGTCTCAGCTCTGATCAGGACAGAATTGGAAATTCTTCACAGTTCACCATCCTTGGCTTTTGTAGAGCAGCTGAGTACACCTCGTGAGTTTTTTATTATAAAGAACCAGAAAAAGATGGAATGTGGATCTTGTTGACTCTTTTGGCCTGTCTCAGCTAGTGAATGGACGAGCACACACACTGGACCTGGTTCTGTCTCACGGGCTGAGGATTAATGACGTGGACCTTCTTCCTGCCCGTTTCTCAGATCACTCACCATTGCTGTTTCATTTGAATTCTGTTTCTCGTACAAACTCTATCCATGCTTGCTCCTCTCGTCACCACGCCCCCTCCGGCTGCAAATGTTGCCACTGTTTTTGCATTGAAATCAGCTCCCTGCAAGTTCACTGGTGTTGATAATTTATAGCATATTTTCAATACATCCTGCCTGGCTGCTATGAATACTGTAGCTCCATTAAAACACAGACGTTCAAAATCCAAGCCTGACCCGTGACTGAATGAGCATACTCGATCTGCAGGAGCCTGGAGGGTAAATGGAGGAAGGACAGGCTCACAGTTTTCTTGGAAAGCATGAGAGATGCATGGTTGCAGAATCAAAAAGCTGTCAGCGATGCAAGAAATCGTTGTTTTTATTTTTTTGCTGGTAACGTTTCTGTTGAACAGTCAAAATGTCATTTTTTTTAAACCCTAAATGCCTTGGTTTCTCCTGCTATAGCTGTATCTTCCTGTCTCTACCGGCCTCTGTAACCAAATCCGTCCGCTGTTCTTAGATAAGGTTGGTAAGATTAGAGCTCAAACTTCTCCTCCTTCCCATGTTTATGTTCCTGTCGTTCTAAACCTAACCGTTTTAAACCCATTTCTCTGTCCTATCTGGAAAAACTATCGCTACTATGAAACCCTCGGGCTCTCCAGTAGATGTGGTTCCACCTCCTTTCCTGAAAGATGTGCTTTCTTTGGTTGGCCAACATGTACTGGTCATTATTAATGGTAGTTTGACTTTGGCTGAAGTTCCTCATGCCTTCAAACACGCTATTGTTCAGGTCTTGATCCCACCATTTTCTCTAATCTCCGACCAAATTTCCAAATTACCATTTTCATGAAAGGTTCTTGAAAAAAGTCGAGTGTGAACAGTTTCTACATCTAAATGACCATCATGTAATCTTTCAGCCTGGGTTTAGACAACGTCATAGCACAAAAACTGCTCATGTTCATGTGTTTACATCTGCCTGGCTTTGGATTCAGGGTTCCATGTGGGTTAGGGACATCTTGATCTATCTGCAGCTTTTGATACGATCAATCTTACATGTTGATCTCCAGACTGCACACAAGGGCTGGCATCATCGGTTTGGCCCTCGACTGGTTTAGGTCTTACTTTTCAGGATGTAACAGGATGCTCAGGGTGATGCTGGATGACTACTTATACCAGTCAGTCTCCCTTCTCTGGGGGGTTCCTCAAGGTTCCATTCTTGGCTTGTTACTGTTCTCCTGCAGTTCCCGAGGTTAAGCAATGGATGTTCTCTAACTAACTAAGGTATGCGTGCCTTTTAAGTGGGGCCACAATCATGTTTTGTGGTCTCTTTTAGATTGTCTTGTTGAGGTTAGGCACTGGATCTTCTCTAACTTCCTTCTATTTAATGATAGAAAGACAGAGGTTGTAGCTTTGGTCCAAGTACCTTGTCTAGGGTGGGTGCAGTGGACCTTGGTCATTTATCTTCTGTCGTCAAGATGAACTTAAGGAATTTGGGTGTTTTTGACCAATCAATGTCTCTTGAAGGCCACTCAAAAACATTGGTCCAAAACAGTTTTTATCACTTAAGAATTGGCTGAAAATGGATGGGTGGTATGGGATGTATGTAGTGAAAAACAGTCAGAGTCTGTTGCTGAGAAAAGATGGACGGATGAACTTACTGCGGTACACAGACTATATCCCGGGCCAAAGTCAAACCGGCACTGTTGATCCATGGAATACTGAAACCCGGGTAGCTGAGGCTGAGCTGGCCAGTCATGGTTGAATGGGTCATCACGAAGACAGTCATAAGAGCTGGAGGACAGAAAACGTAAGCAGTGATCCAGATGTTCTATATCCAGATGGACCTCCCATCTGTTCCATGAGGAGCCTTCTTATGGAACTGCTGGGGTTCTCACTTCAGGTACTGGTGGAGCTCCCTCCAGCTGCACCTGGACCAGTGGTAACGATAGAATGTGGCCTGGACCCTTGGGGACATGATGCTACCCAGGGGGACATCTTCATCACAATCATTGGCCTCACCATCATGCTCCATCCCTAATCTGGGGACACATGGAAGAGCTGTCAGTCATCCTGAGTGAAGCTTGGAAAGTCAGAAGTTCAGATGCTTTCTAACAAACATAGCGTGTCACAAACTCCTCATGAATTGTTGTGTTTTGTGTCTCACACATGTCCGGTTTCATGTGCAGCAACAAAAGCTGAAGAAAAGCCGTCCTCCAGAACAAGAACACAACTCCGATGCAGCTGACACATCCCAGTAACTGGAGCATAACCTGCACAAAAACACCACAGGGTCAGAGGTCAACCATAATATAAAGCTACAACAAATGGTGGCAGAAGTGGTACCCTGCATGCCGAAGGGGCCGAACTCCTGTTTGGTCAGGTAGATGGTAAGATCGTGTTGCTCAGCGTTACTCTGCTCCCTCTGCTGGAGGTATGACCATCTACAAACGTTCTCTAAACTCTTCTGAGGATTCCCAACAGAAATCAGCTCCTGAGACTAACAAAGAGAAAACGTTACTTTTATTATTCTGGCTTTTTATAGACCCAGAAACATCTGCATGGTCAGGCCTTGTACTGCTGCGTATGCTGGTGTCAGCTCAGGTGCACTTGTCCAGACTCGGTGGTTAGACTCTTGTCTGGTACTGGGAGGAGGGAGCATATCAGTCCTGTACAGGCCCAACTTCACTGGCTCCCAGTTGAGTATCGGGTTAAGTTGAAAACCCTGCTGTACGTGCAGAAGACCCTACGGGGCACTGCCCCATAAACACATCCCCTGAAGGGCCTAGCATTCCCTAGACAGGGGACTCTTGGATGTGCCACGCTCTAGACACAAATCTAGATCTCTGCGTCTCCTCCACCTGAGCTGATGGTGACGCGTGGCACTCCTCGCGGCAGTGATTTGCCTGATGGAGCGCGTGCCAGACTGTGGATGACTGGTGTGCTGACACTTCCTGTTGTCAGCCAGCTGGGTGAGGGCGGAGAGGGCTTCTGACGTGCTTCTATTCATCAATCAAACATCTTTTGGCCGTGCAATAGTCTTGTTTATTATTTTTTTTACAAGCACTAGCTAGCGTTTTACACAATGCTGTTCTAAGGTTAGTAGTACTCAAAGTTGATCGTCACAAAAAAGAAATATTTCGTGCCATGGTGTGGCAAGCGGTAAAAACCGTATGCTCATCCCGCCACCCATGCGTAATCGGCTCATCCGAAACACCTGAGGACCCACTTAAATAGCATGTGAGGAACCTGACACCACCACCACAGATGAAAGCCCAACCAACAAAATATAATTAAAGAACAAATAAATGGCTCCTACATCTCCGGCCCCTAATTGTGATAGAATACACAATTACAAAAATTACATATGGAGCCAGAAAAGTTCATTTGTCTCTTATATCCTTTTATTATGTCCAACAATAGTCATTGTAACTTATGGAGCTTCTTGAAGTAGAAAGATCTTTGATATTGGTCTTTCTAGAACTCCAGTCATAGTCTTCAGTTGAACTGTTCGTACAAATCCAGCGTTGTCTGGGTATGTTTTGGTAACTCTGCCCATGATCCACAAACCTCGAGGAGTTGAACGATCCATGATGATGACAATGTCTCCAACAGAAAAGCTTCTTCGAGGCTTGATCCATTTTTGTCTCTCGTGCATCATCAGCAAGTACTCTTTGGTCCACCTTCTCCAGAAGAGGTCAGCCAGATACTGAACTTGTCTCCAGCGTCGTTTGATGTTAAGGTCGTTTTCAGTGAAACACCCAGGGGTCAGGAGAGATTTTCCTTTTAGCAACAGGATGTGATTTGGTGTTAGAGCTTCAAAATCATTAATATCCTCGGATGCCTTGGTGATAGGTCGATCATTAAGAATAGCCTCTACTTCACATATCACTGTATGGAGGCTTTCATCATCCAACTTCCGTTGCTTCAAAATGGAAAAAAGAATTTTTCGAACTATTTTGATCAGCCTTTCCCAAACACCTCCATGATGTGATGCTGCTGGGGGATTAAATGCCCACTCGATGTCTCTGTGAAGGAGAGTTCTTTGAATCTTTCCATGGTCGACAGCAGCCCAAGCTTGTTTCTACTCTCTTTCTGCCCCAACAAAGTTAGTTCCATTATCTGATTGGATGCGCTTCACTTGACCTCTGCGACACAAAAACCTTCTTATAGCGTTGATACAGGAGTCGGTGGTCAAGGAATGGGCAACTTCCAAATGAACAGCTCTACTAGTCATGCAAGTAAAGATAACCTTGTACCTTTTAACCACAGTGCGTCCTTGTTGGACTTTGATGGGCCCAAAGAAATCTACCCCCACGTTGGTAAAAGTAGGTAAATCTTGGGTAACCCTTTTCAGTGGCATATCAGCTATTTTCTGCTCACTTGGCTGACCTTTCTGGCGTCGACATATCACACATTATGATATTATTTTTCTGCAGGCAGAGTTAGCATTTGTAATGCAATACTTCTTCCTCAAGGTTGGTAGCATGTGATTCCTTCCTGCATGACCAAGATGTTGGTGTACATGCTGTAGAATAAGTTTGGATACATGCTGGTTCTTTGAGAGGATCACAGGATGCTTTTGTTCTTCAGGTAAAGCTGCATGCCTCAGCCTTCCACCTACTCTCAATAGGCCATCAATCAGCTTGGGATCCAGCTTGTAGAGACTGCTGCTCCTCTTGACGCATGATGTCCCGGCTTCCAGAAGAATGATTTCCTCCTTAAAGATGCTTTGTTGACTGAAACGAATTATAGCAATTTCTCCTCTGGAAAAGTCTGAAATAGTCAACAATTGGCCACAAGTGAAGATTTAATCTTTGACAACTCTTTCTCCACCACTTCTGATGACCCGAGGGGAGCAGTAACAACTTATTTTCTCTTTTTACGCAAAGTCGGGAGAACATCTAGAAACTTGAGGAGCCAAGCCACAGAAGTTTTGAGCTTTATCCGTGAAGAAAAATAATCCACAAATGATGTTAATGAATCTTGAGCCACTGTAGTGACAACGTTTACCATGATATCTCTCTTGACCTCTGGATCATCTGCGGAAATCTGTTGCAACAGAAATGGTTTAGGCCAACCATCTTCATGCTGTCTGAGAAAAGGTGGACCTGTGAACCACCTGCTATTTTTCAACAGACTGTCCAAAGGTAAACCTCTAGATGCATCATCAGCAGGATTGTCCTTTGAGCTAATGCACCTCCACTGTTCAGGGTCTGTAGCGTCTCTTATCAAGGCCACCCTGTAAGCCACAAAAGTGTGATATCGTTTAGTTTCATTTTTGATATATTTCAACACTGTCTGGCTATCTGTCCATAATAGTGACCTTTGAAGTTCAAAAGGTAGGTCATTGTGTAGCATTTTGTCCCATGGTGCGTAAAAGCATGTTAGTTTTAACACTCTGCACGTTCAGTTTTCCCATTACACCATTTGTACAAAATATTGCATTGCATTACTGAGATTGGTGCCTGCGGGAGAGCTCATGACTTCCACCCAGCCGGAGAGGCGATTGCCAACGACCAGGTAGTGGTGCCCCCTGTAGTCGAAGAAGTCAGCGAACACTTCCTCAAATGGCATGGATGGCAGTGATGCCGGCATGGGAGGTGTGGCCGCCTGCGAGGGGGCATTGCGGTTACATTCTGCACATCGCTCCCTGGTCAACTGGTTGTCGTTAGACATCCCAGGCCAGTGTACGATGGAGCAGGCCCGTCGTTCCATTGCCGACTTGCCCTGATGGGCGGCGTGGAGGTGCTGAAGTACCGCACGATGAAGGGACGTGGGGACAACGACGCAGTCACAGTACAGCAGGACCCCATCTTGCACATACACTGACTCACAGACCTTAGACAGGTCGGCCAGCGCCGGGTCCTTTGGGTCAATGCTGCCCCGTCTTCAATGAGGTGAGGGAGGTGGGAGAGGCATGCATCCGCGGCCGTCTCCTGTGCAAGGAGTGGCCATGCAATGGCGGCAGACTCCAGTGCGTCGCTGCAAATGGATGCCATATGCACCGACACCTCGCTATCGGTCACATTCCATGCGCCCATGCAGCGGCCCTCATCAGAGCCAGAGGGTGAGGGATACCTGGAGGCTGCGTCGGCAGCGCAGTTGCTCTTGCCAGGCAAGTGTACAATATCAAAGCGCCATGGGAGTGTGCACTGTTTGAGCCTGAACAGGCGAGAGTTAGTTATCTCATCCAGTGTCCGGTTCCCAAGGATCTTCACCAGGGGCTTATGGTCAGTGACCACGACCAGGTTGTCACACCCCTGCGTAAAGTGTCTGGTCTGCTCCAGACCCCATGCTACAGCCAAGGCCTCCCCCTCAATAGCGGCGTATCGCTGCTCAGCGGAGGAGAGAAAGCGTGAGCCGGCCAGAGTAATTTTCCATCCATCCGGACAGCAGCCAGGGACACCGGAGCTGCAGGTGCAGTGCTGCTGGAGGAAGAAGTATCCAGTGCCGCGTCTGGACCAGTCTGGGCGGAGACAAGTGCGCCACTCCATGTCGTAGATCTCTACGCCTGCCCGGATAGAGTCCACGATGGCCAGCTTGGATGCCTGAAATGCTGCCTCTAACTCGGGTGACCACACAAATTTGCATCGAGGACTAGGGCTGCTCAATTATGGCAAAAACAATAATCACGATTATTATGACTGAAATTGAGATCTCGATTATTTAGGACGATTTTTCCATTTATGTTGATTTTATTAGTTTTTATTCAGTCATAAAATTGCTCAGGGCACAATCAGGACAAAAATAATTAAGAAACAAGATGATCACTAAAATAACTCCTGATTCCCAGTATAAAAAGGCCAATATACTTATAGCTCATAGTCTATGACCCAAGGGCTATAGACCTTGGTTTAACTCATTTAAGTCTAACCAGTACAGACCCAAATACCAATATCTTGCAAATACTGACAGCAAGAATTATACAGTGGCATTTATAACAAATAAATGCAAATAAATTGATGTTCACAAAATGTTGCATAACATCTATTGAGTCGTGTCAATGTGCTGTAGGAGAGTGCACTAGCACCGTGTCCTCAGAGAGATTAGTCATTAGTTATCAGCGTGAGGAACTTATTTCTACCTTATTTATAAACTATTTATTTACAGGTCCATCAGTTAATGTAATAATTGTCCCAACCACAGCTGCACCCCCCACCCCAAACCTGGTCTCACAGCAATTGGTGGCAAGCTGCAAGTGTGTTTAGCGCGCCGCAAGCGCACATTTAGCCGTTTTTAGTGGCTCAGGAGTCCGCAGGTGCGGTGTGTGTGTCACTCACTCTGGTTAATCCAACAAGGAGCCAGCTCCGAGAGCTGTTTCTTTAGCGACTGACACATCACTACATCATTCCCTTTCCTAATGTCCTGAAGAACGGTCCGGAGCGCAGGCGGAGTGTTTAGCTAACCTGCAGGAAATGTCAACGACAGTTATCCAGAAAGTAGCTAAGGGTTACCAGTCAAAGTCAAGTCAAAGTCAGTTTTATTGTCAATTCTACC